TCAGTAAGTGACGGTTAGCCAGTGACTCAGTCAGTGACTCAGTAAGAGACCGCGTTTCTCTCAGAGGAGAAGAGAAGAAAAAGGAGAGCAGAGAGGAACTGATGGAGATGGAGAGAGTTATTTTTGCTGGGTCGGGTGAAGGAGTCTGGACTTTAAAAGCTGTAAAAATAACTCAAACCCCTCGAGATTCTGAGGAGCTTTCAGAGGAGAATTCTATTACACACACTTTACACACAGACCACACACACACACACACACACACACACACACACACACACACACACTCACTCAGGTAAGATCTAAGTGATGCTCTGTCTGATGTGTGTGTGATGTTTCTTCCACAAACTCTCTCTGATTATTTGTGTGATGTCTGTGTGTGATAACCATCACTGAACACCTGCTTGAGTAGATCACACACACACACACACACACACACACACACACACACACACACACACACACACACACACAGCACTCCACACACTGACAGAATCAGGCCTTCATAAATTATTATTATCAGTGTGATAAAGCCACACACACATTACTGTACCATATAATATATGGTAAAGTATATACATACATACACACACATATACACACACACACACACACACACACTCTGATATCATTAGGAGTGTCTTGTGATTCTTCTGACCTTGTGTTAACACTCAACAACCAAAAGCTCCTCTAAGCAGCTCATGAGCCCAAGAAAACTCTCAGATTAAACTGCACACTGACCAGAAAGGCAAAGCAAAACCCCCACATGACAGCGAGGGGCCTGCAGGATGGTTTAGCTGACACAGGAGTGGTGGTGCGCCGTTCTACTGTGCAGAGCTGCTCACACAAACATGATCTGCATGGGAGAGTCATCAGAAATACAAACAAACATTCAAACTCCTAACAAAAGTCAACATATGAAGTATACAAAACCACATCTAGAGAAGCCAGAGGCATTTTGGAAACAAGTGCCGTGGACTGATTACACTCTCCGGTCACAATCACCAAAGGTGTGTTCAGAGAAAAACAGAAGCAGCATTTGATGAAAAGAACACTGTGCTGACTGTTAAGCCTATTGTGTGTTGGGGTTGTTTGGCAGTCAGTAGATCAGGAAACACTACGCAGGTGGATGGAAGAATGGATTCCACCAAATACCAACAAAGTCTGGAAGTAAGTGTGACACTGAAGCTGAAAAGAGAATAGCTACCACAACAGGCCCAGAATATACCTCTAAATCCACCATGAACTACTACAAGTAGCTGAAGCTGTATGGCTCTTACTGTCCTGTGACTTCAACACCATTGAATATCTGTCAGTCGATCTTAAACATACTGTCTCTGCCTAAAGGGTTGTTACTAAGTACTGACTTGGTAGTAGTCCAAACCTTTGCATGTGTGCTGTCTATGATGCTGAAAATACTCAATCACTCTATTAACCTCACAGGAAGAACTACACAGCTAAGTGCTGTGACCAGATTCAGACGATTTCAAGATAGTTAGTCATTTGTTTCAAGAAAATAATGAATTATTTTTTTATATTAAGCCAATATTTTAATGCACTAGGTAATTTTTATGAAGAAAGTCAATATTGAGAAATTGAGAAATTGTCATTATTTCAACATATTAAGTCAACGGTTTAAGAAAATTAAGTCATTATTTGGAGACATTAAGTCATTATTTTGAGATACTAAATCAATGTTTTGAGTGATTAAGTCATTATTTCAACATATTTAGTCTAAAAATCACTATAAAAGTAATTATTTCAACACATTAAATGAATATAAGAAAATATATATATGAAAATAAGTCATTATCTTGCGAGTCAATATGTTGAAATAAATAAGTCTTTATTTCAACATATTAAGTAAAACAAACAAGAAAACAAGCAACTATTTTGACATATCTAGTCAATATTTCAAGAAAATCATTATTGTGAGATTAATTTACGAAAATAAGTAATTATTTTAGAATGCTAAGTCATTATTTTGACATACTGATACCTGAAATAGAGGAAAAAGAAAAAGAATGGATTTTTTCTCCTTTACCTGGCAGATCAAGAAAGTGATCAAACAGTGGAACACAATGAGTCTCTACCACAAAGAGCATCACGACAGCGTTCCCTGTGAGCGTCCTGACCACCTCCAGACGGGTCTCTGAGGGCGTCTGGACGGACTGAGACAACCACAGTGTCCAATCCGTCTCCGCTGTCCAACAACAATCAGTCTGAAAGTCTAAAAACAGCAGAAAGAGACTGAAAGACTGACTCACCCTCGAGTGTGCAGCATCTCTGAGAGTGTGATCCACTCTGGCAGGAGAAGGGGGCGAGAGAGAGAGAGAGAGAGAGAGAGAGAGAGGAGAGAGAGAGAGAGACCTTACATTCTACATTAAATAGGAAGCCTTAAAAGATCTGATTCCTCCAGACTGTGAACGCCTGTTCACTCAATAGAAGACAGTAACACACTCATAAGGCCTCTTCAGCTGCTTTACTCTCTTTTTGGTCTCCACTGTTTATTTTTCTGTGATGATGAAGGGCGTGTTGGTGAGGAAGGCTCTCCTCCTCCTCCTCCTCACGAACACTGCATGATGAATAATACACGTGAAACACTTCCACATACATGTAAGTACAGACACAGTAAGCCTGAGTGAACATCAGAACTCTGAAATATTAAAGAGTCACTCAGCTCCCTGATGGAGAACAGCAGAGGGGCTTTAGCACCGCCGCCCCCTGCTGGAGGAACCACGCTACTGCACTGTACACACTGCACTGATGAACGCACTGCAAACAGTGGTGTGCTATTACTGATGTAGCATTTAGCTCAGTAGTTAGTGAGATTCGAGACACAGCTTTTTCTCTGAAGAGTATTTAAAAATATTAATCAACAGTAAGCAATGCATCACATATTGGTATTACATGAGGAGGACACTGAGCTGTACAACCCTCCTAATTATTGAGTTCAGGTGTTTCAGCCACACTTATTGCTAACAGGTGGATAAATTAAGCACATAACCTTGCAGTCTCCAACATCAGCAGAAGAACCTGCGCATTAGGAGCTTCACAAAATGGGTTTACATGGCTGAGCAGCTGCACACAAGCCTCAAAATGCACAATGCCAAGCGTCGGATGGATGGAGTGCAGCGCCGCCACTGGACTCTGGAGCAGTCGAAACGTGTTCTGTGGGGTGATGAATCAGCTTCTCCATCTGTCAGTCTGATGGACGAGTCTGGGTTTGGAGAATGCCAGGAGAACGTTACCTGCCTGACTGCACTGTGCCAGCTGTACAGTTTGGTGGAGGAGGGATGATGATATGGGGCTGTTTTTCAGGGGTTGGTTTCAGTGAAGGGAACTCTTAATGCTTCAGCACTAAGACATTTTGGACAATTGTATGCTTCCAACTTTGTGGGAACAGTTTGGGGAAGAACCTTTTCTGCTCCAGCATGACTGAGACCCCAGTGCACAAAACAGCTCCATGAAGGCCTGACTGGGTGAGTTTGGTGTCAAAGAACTTGACTGACCCTCACAGACCCTGACCTCAACCCCATCAAACACCTTTGGGATGAACTAGAACGGAGATTGTGAGCCAGGCCCTCTCGTCCAACATCAGTGTCTGACCTCACAAATGCTCTCCTGGATGAATGGGCAAAAATTCCAACAGACTCACAACAAAATCTGTAGAAGCTTCCCAGAAGAGTGGAAGCTGTTAGAGCTGCAAAGGGGGACCAACTCCATATTAATGCCTATGGATTTAGAATGGGATTCATTAAAGCTCCTGTAGGATTGATGTGTACAATACTTTTGTCCATATAGTGTATCATCGCCATCCAAAAGAAAAAAAAAAAGTATCTCTGTATTTTTTGTTTTATTTTTCTTTTCATTTGAACACAGCAGCTGTTCTTTACACTATGTGAAAGTTTTATGATGAACGGACCAATAGGAACTCCAAAATTCCTAGAAATAAAACCTCTTTATATTAACTTCAATCAAAAGTTAAGAATGTTTGTGTCCTCTCCTGTAAACTATTTTGTTTTTCTCTTGACAGCAATGACGTGTATAATTGTACAATTTATCATTTTATAATTGTTGATTTGTATTATGTTAAACCATTTTAGAAAAAAATCAGTTTTACAGGAAAAGGAAAAAAATGTTTTCAATGTAAATTAAAGTACATTTCTATTGGTGCTTTCGTCATTAAATTTTGCCACAACGTAAGAGAATTTTTTTTTTAAACAAAAATTGTATTGTTTTATTAGAAATCACAAGCTGTATTCATGTGCAGTGAGTATGTTACCATAAAAACAGGTAAATACGTACAACCCAAACCTCTAAGCAAGGCCATCCTCAAAGAAGGAAATGAAAGAAAACCAAAAAAAAAAATCCAAGTTTCCTAAATATGGGCAGCGTGACATTTTTAAATCATGTAAAGGAAAAAAATCCAAAACAGCAAAAACAGATAAACGGTTTTGTTCTGACAGTGACAAAGTGTTGTGTATAGACGGTGAGAATTATTTTAGGAATCATATTGTATTATAGTGCATATCGTATTCATTGTTCACTGTGATTTTCCTTCAGTGCTTAATTTACATTGACAGCATTTAGCAGACACTCTTATCCAGAGTGACTTACAGAGTGATCATTTTACACAGGTAGGTGAAGGTGGCGTTAGGAGTCTTGCCCAAGGACTTTTATTGGTATAATGTAGGGTGCTGGCCCAGGTGGGGATCGAACCCCAGTGTTACCCACTACACTATACCAACCTGTGCTGTGTCCATGCTAAAGGTGTAGCTTAATGTCCAGCTGTTTATACACAACACAGCATCACTGCTAACAAACAATCTGACTAATACAGATATGAACCTATCATTGTCTGGACATCTCTATGGTTTTATATTTTATGAAGTATTCTAGGATATTCAAGGATGTCCTAGAATAAAAATAATAAAAAAAAAGTTCACATTAAAATAAAGAAATGAAATATGAATGCAGTAATAATCCAGCAGACCTGAATATCAGAAACAGATATTATACTTTATTGTTTATCACCTAAACGAGCGTGTGGTTTGCGTGCGGGTCATTTTCAGGTCCAGTGCAGTTCCAGCAGTATTGGTCTCCTCTCAGTGCTGCTACAGTCCCTGCATCTCTCCAGTGAGGATCAGGGTCTGCGCTTTGTCGTCCTCCATGGTAAAGGTGTAGCTCCTGTCTGAGCTGCTGTGGACGGAGGCTGAACTCTCTCTGATCCTGATGCTGACGGCTCTCGGTAAGTGGAGAGGTCGTCTGTAGCGCACAGTCAGCGTGAGAGGAGCTCTCACAGCATCGGCTCCTAAACACAAACACAAACATGCCGTCACTGTCGGAACGAAACCTTGTATCTCTGAAATGGTGACTTTACGACAGAACGAAAAAACTTTAACTTCTCATGAAAATTAAGTTAGAACAGTGACGCTCTTTCTGCCGTCATCCAGGCTGCTGACAGTGTTAGGCTGAATTTACACGGTGCAACTTTCATGCAACTTTAGTTGCTTGAAACCTACATGAAATTAAATGCGCTGTAAAATATCCTGCAACTTATTTGAAACTCAGCCTCAACTGTTGCAGCTGTCTCAACTTTGTTTCAAGTATCATGAAACAGCCAATCAAAATAGCAATGAGGCATGATGTGACAACAAACGTTTTAAACAGATTCATAGGGAAAGGAAATAAACAGAAAACGCTTTATTGGGCGCTCATAAAGAGGACACCGCCCACCCCCCAGTTTATTTAAATATATTCGCCTATTCCGTCTTCAGCAGTTTGGCCCCGCCCATGCTCACTGACATTTCTCAGTGTGTTAAATATTTCAGAATGGATTGCTTTTTGAGTGATGCACAATAGGGCTGGGAAGCCAATCAGAAGGGAGGTCGTTTGCATATTTCGTACATGTCTTAAACCAGGACCACCACACATCACAGTGGATGTTGTGGGGCTTTTCATTATTTTATACACAGCAGAAATCCAGGGGTACAGTGGACTGTCCCTAGTCTCTGAGCCAGCTGTCAGGCCCACTGGCTCAGTCGCTCGGTCAGTAATCCATCTCTGAAGTAAGTTATAACAGTAACGGCTACTTGAATATAATTTTCAAAGGCTTAACCTTCACAGAGCAGATAAAAAGACTGTTATAATGTAAATAATGTAATGAATTTAATCATCATCAGATGTGTTAGTGCACCAGCGTAAGGTTTGACCCTCTTCAAGATCACATTTATCTTGCAGCACTGTGATTCTACACCACAGGCCTGCTTCAACAGCACTATACATATCTGGCAACCCAACAATCTGTCATTCGCAATGAAGTTTTTCCACTGTTCTACCCAAAGCGTCTGATCAATGAAAGACAAAACTCACCTCAGATCAGCGCGAAGACACAACTCTAAAGAATGACCCTAAATAATAAACACGTCCCCACCATAACCCTCTCCAGTTATTACTGATAAAATGGGCTAAATGATAAAATGTACAGTTCGCCTGACGCAGCCTGCACAGGTAGAGCAGGTGAGTCTCTGACCTTTCAGCTTTTCAGTCTCTGCTAGACACCTGGACACAGCCCACAGGGTGGCTGGACAGCCGTAACCCAGCAGAGAGGAGGGCAGGGGGAGAGAGAAACCTGGACCACCACACATCACAGAGGCCCACCAGGGAACTGCTACCCTAATACACCTTTCACACTTACTGTCTGAGAGAAAGAGAGAGAGAGAGAGAGAGAGAGAGAGATAAACAATGAGAGATAAACAAAAATGCAGTGTATTTTAGTGTTAAATTTCACTGACCGACATTAAGTTTCACATATTGAGATTTACTGACGTTAATTTACAGACATTAGGTTTTACTACCTGACATTAAAGCTTCACTGACTGACATTAAATTACAGACATCAGATTTCACTACGACTAGTCAGACTGACATTAAATTACAGACATCAGATTTCACTACCTGACATTAAGCTTCACCTACTGACATTAATTATTAGGTTTCACCCTCTGACAATAAATTACAGACATTAAGTTTCACTACTGACATTAATTACAGACATTAAGTTTTTCTGCCTGACATTACGTTTCTCTTCCTAACTGTGTGTACCTGTGTTACACTACCATTAGCAGTGTATGTGTGTGTATGTACCGTCAGTAGCGTGCGTGTGTGTGCGCGTGTACACGTACCGTTAGTCGTATGCAGCTGCAGTGTGTGTGTGTGTGTGTGTGTGTGTGTGTACACGTTCCATTGGTCGTGTGCGTGCAGTGGCGTGTACACGTACCGTTAGTCGTGTGCAGCTGCAGTGTGTGTGTGTATGTGTGTGTGTGTGAGTGTGTACGTGTCATCAGTAGTGTGTGTGTGTGTGTGTGTGTGTGTGCGCGTGTGTACACGTTCCATTGGTCGTGTGCGGCTGCAGTGTGCGTGTGTACACGTACCATTAGTCGTGTGCGGCTGCAGTGTGTGTGTGTATGTGTGTGTGTGTGTGTGTACGCACCGTTAGTCGTGTGCGGCTGCAGTGCGTGTGTGTACGCAGTGTGGGGGGAGATGAGTGTGATGGTGCTGCTCCACCCCTCCTCCTCCTGCTGAGCCGTTCTCAGACTGAGAGACAGATCCACCTCCACTCCTCCACCCCCACTCCTGTACTCTTCCACCCCCACCTGCAGGGAGAACGTCCCTCTCTTCAGCTCGTCCAGCGGCTTCAGCAGGCGCACCGTCTGACACACACCCAGCAGCCCTGACACACACCAACGAGCCTTTACTGCACTGCAGCTACACCATACCACACTGTGACACAGTCAGAGACCACCCTTCATTTACCCACCCTCCAGTAAAAACAGCCTTTAACTACAGATCATTCATTTCATGTGACTGACCACCCCGAGAGTCCAGGCCAACATCCCTGAATGTGTTTGATTACTTCAGAAAATGATCAACCAGCTTCTAAGACTGAACTGAAAAGAATGGAAGCTGTAATAAAGGTAAAGAGTGACTCACTGAACACTCACACAGCCGAGAGTAGAGTTAGTTGTAGAGGCTTCTGGGTAATTTTGTATGAATGTATGGGTTCTGCTTTTATTCCTGACTCTGAAAATGAAGAACTCATATTTAAATTAACTGAAGCGGGGGGCTCTGACTTTTTCACAGCACAGTATTAGAGACTTTTGGATAAAAACATCTAAAATCACCAAATCATTGTTAAAGCAGCTATAAAATATGCTAAATCATGCAACTGTGTTGGCTTAATGACTCAACTTTACACACATCCAGGTTTTCCATAATAATTCCCATGACTGGAAAACAAGTCTATAAATTTCCATTGTTTAGGATCTGTGGGAACCAGTGCGTTATTTCCTAAAAATATGAAGCAAATCTGAGATGGTCAGTGAGATGCATTGTCTGAAAACATGATATTTGTCCATGTTGTGCAGCCCCAGTGACTAAAGTCATATTATAGACTACGATATGATATAGTGAGGTCACTGCAGAGAGGGGTCACTCACCATAGGGACTCAACCTGAACCGCAGTGAGCATGTGACCATACTGATCAGCCGAGAGCAGAGGAACTGTGGGTAGAAGAGAGGGATGTCTCTGAACGTGCTGTCCGGATAGTCCCAGCCGTATCCCACCACGGAGCAGTACCTCCTCAGAGAGACCACCTCGTACCTGCACAGCATTCATCACATCCAACAATCAACATTCCATATAAACCCAGAAGACTCGTGTAGGTTCTCTGGTGGTTTTGATAGTAAATACAATGTCTATATTTGTGTTGTAGTCATGGCAACCCCTGGTTCCTATCACCACCACTGTAAAGACATCTGAACCATTTCACACCAAACCTCTCTGAATCACTGAAAAATTGGTGGACTTCCCCTTTAGGCCTAAAGTGAGGGTGGTCCAATAGAAACTCTCCTCCTATTAGACAACATGAGTTGAGCTCTTATGTGTATTAAATTTCCCGTCCTACCTTAACTGGTGCAGGACTGTAAACTCCATTTAAGGTGGACTGTTTACTGTTAGACAACCCACCTGCAGTTAATGAGTGTAATCAGGAGCTGCTTCTCTTTGGCGCTGTGGTCACTGTGGTCACTGTTCAGGTGTCCTGCTCTGCTGCGCAGTGACCGCAGTATGAACCTGCTGAGTGAACACAGAGAGGCTGGACCTCCAGGCTGGTTAAAGTCCAGCACTGCAGAGTTTAACACAGACACAGAGCAGAAAACTCCATACAGGACATAAACTCCCACACTGACCGCTCCAAACAGGGCCAGCGCCGCCCACAGAGGGTCCATCTCACACCTCCCGAGCTCTAACGCCGCCTCATACTCAGGTAATAACACTAACACAGCAGAACCATCAGCATTATTATTATTATTATTAATCCACACAGCAGTGACCTGCTCAAACTCTGCTCTGTTCAACGGCGCCTTCCTGCAGGCGAGCTGAACCTGCAGCGCTGCTACTGCCCCCTAGTGTCCGGAAAGGTGCTCTACAGAGCACACATACAAAAATCAGTCAAACAATAACAAAAAATCAATAATGTGAAAGTATTGTTATTATTACCAATTGGACATGAAACAATAACGATCACAACAGTAATAATAACAATAATGAATCAAGTTATTTGTACTAATACTTATTAAGCATTACATACATAATTTACATACTTTGGCGCATGTAATAAAACAAGCAAAAAATGTAAAAATCATATAATTTACTTTTAATTTATTAACTAATTATAACAATATGATGATGGCAATATTGATATTTACAACATTTAACAGAGGCTGTTACCCAAAGTGACTTACAAGTGCTAAATACTAATACTGCTACTAATGATAACAACAATAACAATATCAGTTATTAAATTATGATTATTTTATCAATAGTAGTAGGTACAATAATAATAACAATAATAGTAATAACAATAATAATCATCGTCATCATCATTATTATTATACATCTTTATGTAGCATTTTCATTTTAGTTAATTAAGTAAATATTATATAAATAAAAATAGAGATAACTAATAAATTTTCTTATTAGTTTACATTGATAATCTTACTTTTAATTTGATAGCTTTAATAGCTAATAACAAAATTTTAAAAAAATAATATGATCATATTTAGATTTTTTAAAATTTAGAAGATGGTCTTATTCAGATACTAATAACAATAACAACATCAGTAATCAAATAACGATCACTGTTTTAATAGTAATAAATAATGAAATAATGAAATGAAATAAGGAACAGTGAACTCACAGGAACAGGAATGAAATGATATTTTAATAATTCTTACAATTTGCCTGTTACACATTGTTATAAGACACATTTCAATCATTACAAATAACACATTAAAGGTACTTTCGTTATAATCAAGTTCATTATGAAATAAATCATTACAACATTACAGTCATGTGATATTTGGGTCCATTCATTTGAGTCAAATGTGGCGGAAGGCACATGAGCTGCGACGATCACATCAACATCATATTATAAATCACCCAAAAATATTCATGGTCATCTGTTTATTGTAAGATAAATAATCAGATTATATACCTACCAAATATCCAACATACTTAGCAAATTATTAATAAATCCCAGTGTAGAATGTCTCTGTTATTGCTGATCTGAAACCATTCAGTGATGTCAGTAGTGCTGGTCTGTTCTTCAGCCTGGGAGTTAAAGCGACAGTTTGGCCAAGAAGAATCTAATTAACAGGTGTCCACCACTTACCCCACAGACAGTCAGCCATTAGCTATGCTAATGTACTATTAGATAGTACTGAACACGGTTCGAGCCAAGAAGCTGAAGTTGTTTCCTATTCGTCAGCTTCTTATTTGAATCTTCCATTCCACCTTAAACAGCCTCAGGCGTCAGAATGTAACTGCTGCACCATTTAAGGTGGAACGGAAAATTCAAATGGGAAGCTGACGAACAGGATGGCAACTTTGCGAACATGTTTGAGGCGAGTGTGATGACACGGTTAGGCCGGTGTTAACTGGTGGGATATGCATTTCCATTACTTCTCAGCTTCATTAGCCTCGCAGCTCCAGTGCCAAAACTAAAGAAAACACCAAACCTGTCCTGGCTGACTATTCTGGGGTGAAACTGGGTTCATATGATGCGTGGTCAGACTATCGCTTTAACCGCGTCGCTCCATCAGCCGAACAGCAGCAGCAGGACTATGCAGACTGAGTTCACGGCGATCAGGGGCACTGTGGGAACAGAGCAAACCAGACCTGTGGAGTCCACCTGACCCTGACGCATGATTTTAACGCGTGTTTATGTGAGCTATGCAGGCTGTTCTGTACATTCACATCATTCTGATTCACAAGCAGAGCATGTCTGGAGTCGGCTTACCTCGCATGACTGTCCTGACAGAGCGGATCAGGTTGATGAGCTGAGTTTTGATGCCAGGTTCCTCTCCGAACCCACCGACGCTTTGGTCCACGCCCCAGCCGACTGCAACGACAAAGAAGGGGCACAGAATAATTGTTAAGTTGTTAAGACGGTGTGCTGCAGGGCTGTACGATACATTTTAACGTTATTTCTGCGATAAGCGCTTTGTTAAAAGATGCAGTGACAGAACGGATCACCTCCTACACGCAGACACATACTACGATACGTCCGATGCCCTTATCATTACCATTATTATTTATCATTATCCTTAATAGAAGTTTAAAATTTGCATACTTTTACTGAAAACATATATAAAATTAAGCAGTTGTTGCTGTGTAACTACCGCCATAAATAATGGCAATTAACAAAGTTATAAAAATATTTTTTTATTTTAAGATTTAACCTCTTCAACTTCTTGAGACCACCGGTGGTTCCAAAACACACTTCGTCATATTCTTCAAAACTTTCATATTTCATAAGCTACATTCTAAAGGTGGGGGTCGTATGAGAGCTGTAACCGTCTTCTTTCCAGTCAAATAGACGGGTGATGTAATTTTAAACCCTTATAATAAAAGAAGCTGAACTCACAATTTTTTTTCTACTGAAAGTCGACCCATTTTTCCACAAATCTGGGCTATAAACTATAAACAGATGGCGTCTCTTCAGTGATCTGCTCTGTAAAAAATATTTTTATAAAATAATACAAAGAGTGTCTAAGATTTTTGGCTTTCAGCAGTAAATTGTAAGCATACAGCAATATGTGTGATCATAAAACACATGTTCTGTTAATTTGAGGGAGCTTTTACAAAATAAATAAATGAAATAAAAATTTACATTTATTTCATGCAGTTACTGAATAATTTGCCTTACGACTTGGTCATGTGAATTCAGATGAAAAAACCAAAATATACCCTGGTCAATAATACATGTGCATTTTTACTAAAATCTTACAAGAAAAGTTGATAAAATTATGGTTAATAAGTAAAAATAGTAATTAAAAAAGTGATTGTTTTCATGAAGGGTTAATTACTGTAAAATGGTACTTTAAAGCACTGAACTTGATTTAAAAAAATAAAAAATATTAAAATATTGATATTAAATAATAATATGCATTCTGCATCTTGGGACATTATTGTAGTGAAGATATTCTAAGACTGATTATGCGGCATTCGTTTCATTTATTTCATCCTTACATCATCAAGGGCTATTTGTTCATCTGATTTTTGAAGCTGCAGTGGACTGTTCCCTGACTTTAACCCACCCTGACCCTTGTAGTCTATGGGCACCTGAAGCCCCTGGTAGTCAAAGGCCCCTGGGCACTGGCCCCAGTGGCCTGGTCAGTAATCCAGCTATGCTTACGGTCAATTTCTCAAAGAGATTCAACAGACAATCATCCGTGGTCAGTAATCATTTGGGTATTGTGTGATATCTTGTGTATTCATAAATGTGAGACTGATTCTGTTATGGGCTTTACAACAATCCATGATGAATTTCCTAATCAAAAGTCTTTTTTACCCAACAAACCCTCCATATTTCGCTCAGCTCAGCTCCTGGACCTCTCAGGTAGTTTCCAGCTGATGTAGAGCTGCTGATTTGTGGGCCTTCAGCCTCCTGACCTCCTGTTCTCACAGCACTACAGACCGTTAGCCTAGCATAACTTTGGGCACTGCTGAACCTCCGGTTTATGAGAGGTTTGTTCACCTTAATCCCGAATTTAGGGTCCTGTCGGAGTATTACACCCTTTAAGACATTTCCTTGAGCATTTTAAAGAGCTAGTAAAGCTAAAATGGTGCTATTTCACTGTGTTTTACGAGCGGCCACAGGTTTTAGAGGAGAAACGTTTCTGTCGTGTTTTGGTCAGAATGTTTTTATCATTCACATTATTAGATTTAATTTAGTTTGAGAATGAAATGACCATATCACTACCAGCATTAACGAGGCTAAAGCTGGTTTCTTATTCGAAGTTAGCCCTTAAGTTAGCTAACCTAGATAGTTTATTTCTTATTCGAATTTTCCGTTCCACCTTAAATGGTGCATCAGTTATTATTATGACGCCTGAGGCTCCAGAATGTAACTGCTGCACCATTTAAGGTGGAACGGAAAAATTCGAATAAGAAGCTTCATCTCAGTCAATGTGTAGGTGTGTAAATTAATGTTCTCTTTACAGATGATGTGTAGATAATGTTCTCCAGTAAAAGGAACCCAAACTACTCCTTCTGATGGAACTTTGGCCGAGTGGACAGGGCAACACAAACTTATCAGGGGTCTATTTTACACAAAAAATGCTTTCTTACTGTAAAACTGTGAACACTTTTGGAAAATGAAGGTGTTAAATCTGTTATTCCAGTAGTAGTAATATCAGTATAATCCACATATTTAGATTTACATGGCATTAAATCTGCTGCTCCGCTAACTGAGGACCTGCTGTGAGTACGGTGGGCTAAGGGCTGTATGCCGCTAGCTAACGGCTACAACAGATACCAACGGCTGCTATTAAACCAACAGCAGGTGAATTAAGGTGGTTATGATTAAAAATGCCTGATAGTAAAAGCTTAAAAGCTCTTACTCTTGGCGAGGAACCGCTCTTCGTGCAGCACTGCTATCGCGTTAGTGATTAAAACAGCAGCCTGGATCAGCCCGTAGAGCGCCATTACTGTTTACTGTCCACTACGACCCGGAGTCGATTCCAAAAAAAGAGTCGATTCTCCGGTTCCGGGCGTTTGAGGCTCGAGAGTCGACTCCGAAGCTTTGCACTCGGTTCCGCACAGTGATGTTCAAGTTTGCGAGTCAATATCAAGACCATGCAGATCTATGATCTAGACAGCCTGTGTGAAAATGAACCCAACACTAGTAGTTTATTATTATATTACTAAAATAAAAATTCCACGTTGATCCAAAGCGTTTCAGTGTACATACATCGATAAAACAGATTTACAGGGTAAATAACTTTAAAGTGGACATACACCGATCAGGCATAGCATTATGACCACCTCCTTGTTTCTACACTCATTGTCCATTTTATAGCAAAGTGCTATAGGTGCACTTTGTAGTTCTACAATTAAACTCCATCTACATAAAAAATCCACTCAGACCAGCACAGCACACACTAACACACCACCACCACGTCAGTGTTACTGCAGTGCTGAGAATGATCCACCACCCAAATAGTACCTGCTCTGTGAGGGTCCATGGGGGTCCTGACCACTGAAGAACAGGGTAAAAGGGGGCTAACAAAGTATCAGAGAAACAGATGGACTACAGTCTGTAACTGTAGAACTACAAAGTGCACCTATATAGTAAGTGGAGCTGATAAAATGGACAATGAGCGTAGAAACAAGGAGGTGGTCATAATGTTATGCCTGATCGGTGTATGTTATGTATAATTATGCAAAAGTCACTTCTTTTACTTTTTTATTAACTGTCATTGTTTAAGGTCATGACTTAAAAATAATTTTGATGACACTTTATTGCCAGTGGATTAGTGTCACTCCTAAATGAAGGTGCAGAAACACTCTGGTAGTGTTTAAACAGTTTTAAAGGACAGTGTTTTATTTGCCTGTAGTTTGAAATGGACTTTAACATCAATCCTCCCTCATATATTTGATCCATATTGCACTTTTTAATGATGTTGGATGCAGCTTCAATCTCAGAAAGTGAACTGGAGAGATAAAAATACACATATATGTACATGTTATTGTTCATATTAAAAGTATGTGATGTTTCAAAATATATGTGCTAAATATATTTAGCTGTGCTATTCTTAATATTTAAATGTATGGTAATATATGCACATTAAAGTGAACATATGGAATTATATGCACATATGCAGATGCCATGTAACTGTATCAAGCATACATGGGTAAAAAAGGAAAAAAAAATGAATGGGGTATTTCACCTGGGTGGGCTTTAGGGTGCTTTTTTGATACACCTGATATTTCTAAATGAATATGAACTGGTTTTACTGGTTTGAGCTCCATATCTGTGTGTCCATTTGCGTCACCGTGAGAATGAGCGCTTATAAAGCGCGTGCGTGCGGCCTGCGCGGCTTCGCGTGCGCGTGTTGGTTTGCTGCGCGATGCGGTCGGTGTGTGCGCTGAGTGCGGCGGTGTGTGCGGTTCTGCTGCTGCACGGTGAGAGAAGCGCACCTCGGCTGCGCTGTTATCACAGTTCTCCGCTGTATTAAACGCAGGAAAGGCGCATCTCAGCGTTTTATCCGCTCTAAAACACTAATTCTAGTCCTGCGGGAGGTTCAGCTGGAGTTGGCGGTGGAGGCTCCCTGAGTGGAGCTGTTGGTTCCGGCCCTGATCTCCAACACCTGCCCCGGCTGATGGCTCAGAACCCCTGGCCTGGCTGGAGCAGGTTCGGTTGTGCTGGGGGACAAAAGCTGGAGAATTTTGTTGCAGTCTTCTTTTTCTCCAGCCTTTCATTCGACTTTCCCGTTCCACCTTAGACGCTTTTACAGTCTGAAGCCTGTTTAGATTTTTCGCGTTTCCACCTTAAACCTTTCTGCAGTGACATTCTGGGGCATGTCTCAGCATCACAGTCAAAGTTTCCGTTCCACCTTTAAACGCTGCTTTAGTTAACATTCTGGGGCTTGTCGTTGCCTCATATACGGATTTTTCGTTCCACCTTAAACACCGAGGCAGTTAACCTACGACCTGTCAGCTTCATGTTTGGGTTTTCCGTTCCACCTTAAACTTTTCTGCAGCGATCCACGCTCGTGTTTGTTTGATGTTTGTGTAGATGTGGCCGTGTGGTTGGTGAGGCACAGAGACCCTGTTGATGTGATTGTTGTTCCTCTGGTTTTATATTAAGCTAATTTCATTTAATAGTCCTTTCATTCCTTAATCCGTGTAGATATTTATAATAGCCTAGCACCTCATTATACGGACCTGAAGTTAGGTTGTTATTTGCCAGCCTCTTGTTCGAATTTTGCCGTTTCACCTTAAATGGTGCAGCTTCAGGCACCAGAAAGTGAGCAGTCCGTGCAACCCAGATTAATCTGTGTCTGAGGATTATAACTAAACAAATGTGGTGAAAACCGGTTGAGTCATAAGGAAGTTGAGGCCGATTTAATCCTGAGACTCATCGTCTCTCAATACAAGTGAATCTGTTCACGAGCCGATCTTGACCGCTCCAACATGGCGGACGCGCAGACGTATCGCCTCACTTACAGAACAGACAACGCGGCATTTGGAATGTTATCTATGGACATTGATACCCATGTATATCTATGGGTAATGTAATGGACGTGGCAGGCGTCGTGCTAACAGCACAGCACGTAGCTAACTGAACACTGGAGACTTGAAATCTGAAATATGTCCATTTTAGTCCATGTTTATAGGTAACAGTGAGTCATACAGTGTCAGAAACCACATAATCAAGACTATTAGATATTACAGAACAACTCCACTTAGTTTTAGACGAGTTTGCATGCTAATCGGGGGGGGCCTCAGCTTTTTTTTCTACTTGTTAACATCATTAGCCTCATAGCTCCAGTGCTAAACTTTAGACGCAAAGCATGTTTTTGCTGATTGACAACACTTGGACGGTTCTTTAGTAAAGTCACTGGTTCAATTTAGAACCATGAGTTCTTTATAAAACTGTTTTAGATTAAATGGTTCTTTGCTTAGGTGAAATGGTTATTCACATTGATGGAGAATGCGATGTGTAGGCATCTAAGTTACACTCTTAAAGATGGTTCATCAAGGTTTCTTTAGTGAAGAAAATGGTTGGATAAAGAACCATGAACACTCAAAAAGACCTTTGCATGATTAAAGGGTTCTTCGTAATGTGTTGAAAACTGAAAAGGTTTTTCAATTTTTACAATGTCAAGCCTGTAGCAATGGAACCTTTTGATTGTTCATGGTTCTATATAGAACCTTTTTCTGTACTGTAGAACCCTTGACGAACCATCTTTTTAAGAGTGTGTATATAGAACCTTTTTGAAAATAGTTCTATATAGCACACAAAAGGGTTCTTCTGTTAAGCTTGACATCAATAGAAGAGTCCTTTTTGGTGCTATATAGAAACATTTTCAGGAAGCATTACAGCCATGTATGTCACACTCTCCATCGACCTGAAGAACCATTTAAACTGAAAAAGGAGCTATATAGAACTCATGATTCTAAATAGAACCATTCCATTCACTAAAGAACACTTGACCATCCTCCTTTTTTCCACAGCGTCCGTTTGGTTTTGATGTTTTCCCCCTTTTACTCTCAAAGTTGAATCATCACTGAATTTGGCTCATTTATGTGCTGTCATTTCTCCACAGAGCCTGCGGAAACTGATTAGGGCTGAACGATTTGGGGCAAATATCTAATTGATATATTTTTTTCTTTCATGAACAATATTGAAACATCAATTTAAATTTTGTTTTCATTTTTAGATTTTCTAAAAATTAAGTTCAAGGCCTTTTTTGGCCCTGACCAGCATATCGCTGTTGTTGGAAGAAAACCTCGTATCTCCATTTTTTATGTTTCAGTTTTTGGCCTAATTTGAAAGTACATGTTACCCATTACTTTGTGTGCAAATTTCATGATGAATGGACTAAAAGAAACAACCCAAAAAGTCTGGTTCCCTTGATTTACGTGAAAAGTTTTTTTTCCTTCTCCTGTAAAGTTATCATTTTTGGAGATGCAAGGTTTTCTTCCGACAACAGTGACAGCCACGTTTTCTGACTTGAGCCTTGAGCGCTTAATGTGGTGCGGTCAGACTGCCAGTGAGTTGTGGTTGTGATGTCAGTGTGTCTCTACTGCATCCTGATCTAAGGAAATGTGTGTTCTCTCTCTCTCTAGCTGTTACAGGTGAGATCAGCCTCCAGCAGGGGGAGCCACTGCGCTGTCGTCTGGGCATGGTTCCATGTAAGGACGGTTCGGACTGTGTGCTGTTTAACCATGTGTGTGACGGGGAGATAGACTGCGCTGACGGTTCTGATGAAGAGGACTGCGCCACAGAGTGCAGGAAAGGTCAGTGTGGTGATCGGAAGAAATTCCACCAGTTTTTCACAATTTGAGTCATTAATGGTTAAGAATTTGAGAAACTGAATTGTTCACAGTGGTGGTGATGGGGAACCAGACATCCACCTCTAACATTTCCAGAATTGACATTTTTGTAACAGATATTTATGTTGAGAATCCCCATTCCCACTGAAGCTAATATTAAATCATTTGGACCCAAATAAACCAGGGTCATCACATTGGCTACTGTAGTGGTCACCAACTGTCCTCCTGAAGATGTTCTTTTCTGCACAGAAGAAATCTGCTCTGATTTCAATTTTACCATTTTTTTTTAACAGGCTGTTTTTGTTTCTGTGCCTTTAAGACTGATGTATGTAAATGAGCTCAGTTCTGATTGGCTCTGCCTCACTCAGTGAACAGTCTAGGCTGAAACAGTCCTTATGACATCAGTGATTGTGGGCAGAGCTAAACTGCTGCAGACTGAATAGAAAGATGTTTGTAAATGTTGGTTTTTGTGACGTCACAAATTCAAAATGGGCTGTTTTTGCTGCTTAGTTTCCAAACATTGACAGTGAGGACTATTTATTTTATATTAAAATTAGGTTAAACTTTAAGAATAAAACACTTGTTTTTGCATCGTATGTGCCCTTTAAAAAGCCCTTTAATAAAGTGGACAGTGAGTGTGAACAGCTGTGTTTCCTGTAAATCTGGTTCCAGGTCAGTTCCAGTGTGCACACGGTAAGATGTGTATTGAACAGAGTCAGGTGTGTGACGATGTGGCTCAGTGCCAGGACCGGTCAGATGAATTGGACTGCTTTAAGCCGGAGGAGGGCTGCGGACACAGATGCGGTAAACTCTGCCTGTCTGACGTTTTTGTCTGCGATGGACAGGCGGACTGCGAGGACGGCAGCGACGAGGCCGACTGCGGTAAGAGACTCGCTCTGACGGTCCTGCGTTCCTGCAAGACTCACACATAGTTTTCCTCCCAGATGTAGTCAGACATGTCTGAAGTTTGCTTCCCTAGTTTTAGCGCTGGAGCTACAAGGCTAATCTAGCTAAGAAGTAATGGAAGCTTATACTCTACCAGTTAGCATGGAGCTAACTGATTGCATAAGCCACCACATACTTACCTGTGTGGAGCGCCACCCATTCATTTTTTTTAATTAGTTTTTTTTTTTTTAATACACTAAAAACAGTCCATTCATTTATATATGACCGTTTTCTGATCTCTCTTTACCCTTCGGAATGAAACAGGCAGTTTTTTTTGCTGTGACTTGTGTGTGTAAATGAGCTATGTTCTGATTATGGGTTAGGTCAGGGGTCGGCATGCGGCTCTTTTACTGCCCTGTTGTGGCTCCACAGTTGAATTAGATTTGTAGGTAAAAATAAAATAATCCTCCTTTACAGTAAAATAAAGCTCTGCTGATCTTTCAACACAGTTTAACAATAAATGGTCTTTTAATGGTTTAATCTGCAGTAAGAAACTGTCCATCTCTAAAGTGAGGCTGAGGTCAGTTTCTCATTCGTCAGCTTCTTGTTCGAATTTTCCTGTTCCACCTTAAATGGGGCAACAGTTACATTCATACATTTAAGGTGGAATGGAAGAATTTGAACAAGAAGCTGGTGAATGAGAAGCGACTTCAGCCTCGTAAAAAGTCAAACGTTGAGAGACATTTTACAAGAAACTGTTCTTTTTGTGGAAAAGTTTCCTGCTGGGGAAAAACAGCTATACCTGAGCTAAAGCTTAAAGCAGAGCAAAGTCAGTCTGCGTTTTTGTTTATATTATATTTTTTAGCCTGTACTAGTACATCAGCACATACTGAGACATATTTACAGCCAAGATAGTAAAATGTTACTTCAATAATAGGTTGCCGACTTAAAACTTCTGTTTGAGTGGGCGGAGCTATAGTTCTGTGTGTGTATATCAAGTCTTTAAGGGTCCATTCATGCAAAACCAAATTTCCTCTGCTTTTATGGTAAAGCAAGTAACTAACTAAGTAACTAAAGCAAGTTACTATAGCTTGTTTACGTTGTTTTGTTTTTTAAACAGATGATGAACCCGATGAAGCTGAAGAGATGGAAGTTCTTGGTGCTGTTAGGACTGACCCCCCTGCTGTCCAGCCTCCCCTGCGCTGCCTGTTGGGCTCCTGGGCATGCAGAGACGGGAGCGAATGCATTCAAAACACCCACGTATGTGATGGAGAGAAGGACTGCAGGGACGGCTCAGACGAACAGGAGTGCACTCAGGAGTGTGAAACAGGTGAAGAGCTGATCAGTCATGACCAGCATCTCATTAATTATAAACCATGCGGCTCAGAGTTAGGAGCCTCTACACGACGGACTAGAAATAAGAGCTCCTTTGCCAATGTAAAGTGCGCACTGTGATTTTCTACACATGCTGCAGTGTGTAAAAATAAAAGCCCCTGTTAATATGACAATGTGGCAAAATAAAAGCCCTGGACAAGAGGACTCTCTTCTAATTCTTGTACTTCACACCAGCTTCATCAGAAAATGAGAAGATGTTGGTTAAGATGTCTACAGTGATCAGTTAGACTGCGTAGGCCTCTAAATTAGTAGACTGTTCAGGATGTGAAATACATGTTTAGTGTGCTTAGTTTTCTTTAATCATGAATTACTAGAGGTCTAGTTTTGAAATGAACTCTTGAGTTGTATCCAGATTTTCCATTTAAGGAAAAATATTGGGTCTGTAATTTGGCTGGGAATTGTCCCAATTGTCCTAATTATCCAGAAGTTGGGGTTATTGTCTGGATTGCTTAGACTCTATGCTGCCCTCTAGTGACCAAAGCTGGTTAATCAGTTAATTTTCCGTCACAGTTCATAACTAAATCTGATCCCAGGTCAGTTTCAGTGAGTGTAAATCTGATTCCAGGTCAGTTCCAGTGTGCACACGATAAGACGTGTATTGAGCAGAGTCAGGTGTGTGACACCGTGGCTCAGTGCCAGGACCAGTCCGATGAAATGGGCTGCTTTAAGCTGGAGGAGGGCTGCAGACACCAGTGCGGTAAACTCTGCCTGCCGGGGTTCTTCGTCTGTGATGGATATCTGGACTGTGAGGACGGCAGCGACGAGGCCGACTGTGGTAAGTGTTTATACGCAATATCCTGAGTGATGTGGGCAAAAAATGTCCATGTGAAATGGTAAAGCCAGGTTGAAGAGGGCTTGTTAAGACCAGTATTAAAAGCAGGTTAGTTTGTGTGAATTTGGTTTCATTTCTATTTTCGTTTATATATTTCCTTTCTCTCTCTGTAGGAGGAGGGACCTGCAGCAATACAGAGTTCCAGTGTGCTAGTGGTCAGTGTGTACCAATTCGTGGGCGCTGTGATGGCAACCCGGACTGCAGGGATCACTCGGATGAGAAAAACTGCACTAACTGGACTGAGTGCCATGAAGCAGTAAGTGAAGTTCTACAATTAAGGTACCACATAATAAATGTGTACCATGTTTTGATTTAATAATAAGTTCCATTTCTGTAGTGTCTTTCTCTAAACCCAAGGACGCTTATAAACATACCACATATGGTATGAGTGGTGTGAGTGCCTTAAAAGGGAATTCCACTGGTTTTGGAACCAGGGGTCGCCATGACAACACAAATATAGACATTTTATTTACTATCCAAAACCACCAGTGAACCTACACGAGTCTTCTGAGTTTTCTCTAGAACAGAGTGTTTCACACCAAACCACTCTGAATGGCTCTGTTTACATCTTAACCACTTAATTATGCTGAAATTCTGAAAAATTGGTGGAATTCCCCTTTGAAAATGGTTATGGATTATTATTAAAGTAGTGGTAAAGCTGTATTAGAGAACCTCTCCACTGTAACTGTTCACTCTAACTGGTTCACTTGCTGTTTGTGTGGTTGTAGAGCTGTGTGGAGTCTCCGGTGCAGTGTGGGCAGTTTCAGTGGCCGTGTGTGTCTAAGACGCAGTGCGTTCCTCAGAGCTGGCGCTGCGACGGCACCAAAGACTGCGCAGACGGGAGCGATGAGGCTGCCTGTGAGTCTTCTCTGACTTCCAGAGCTGGCAGGATAATCCATCCTTTCAGTACTTACTTACGTTTTCTGTCTAAACAGGACCTAAACAATAATAAAGTTGGATGACTATTAGCTGATGTTGGATGACACTGGAGGGGTAGTCCAGCCAAAATTAAAAATTCAATCATCCGTACATCTCTTATGTCTACTCGCCAGTCACAGCAATGTCACAGGAGTCTCTAGAGTGGTGCTTACCAACACTGCTCCTGGAGATCTACCTTCCAGCAGGCTTTAGCTCTAACGTGAAGTGACCACGTCTGAACTTTCTAGTTATTCCTTTTAGAATTCCTTGATTTTAGATAATGTAACTTTGTTGGAAGTGACCTGCTGTGTACTGCTCGCATACTGATTGTGACCTAAGTAGTATACAATGTGTGACCAACATGAGTGACCTGGATTACTCTGGCCGAATATTCCACTTTTTTTCTTCCAAATAACTTAATAGCTCTGAATTCTGCTGAGAATGGATTCAGAAATGTAAGAATAATTTGTCCTGCTGCACTCAGGGCAGCTCTGAAGAAGCTCTATCAGCTTTCTCTGCTGGCCTTGAGGTTGGTTTGCTTACTTTGTCTGTTTAATGAAACTTAACTAACTGCATAGATAACATGGTTGAAACAGTGACTTAATAAAGTTGGTCTCAGCTGAGCAGTCCACTCGGTGTCAGCTTTTCAGGCTCATCTGTGGAGTCACACTGTGGATTCAGCCAAACAAGCGCACAAAACCCACTACGAATGTAGTGAAAATGAATAGCTTTTGCAAATGTGGGAAAACACAGAAAAGCACACAGGTTTACCACACAAACCAATACACAAATGATATTTTAAATTTGTAGCTTTATATATGGTAGAAAACACCCTCCTCTCTGTCGTGGTGTCTTTCAGAACTCAGCAGGCCCATTTCTTGACTGAAGTACTTAGATGTTCATGTCTGCATGTGTACAGATATCCATACATCTTATTTGTATATCTACCGAGCTTCTTTCACATCGGCTGTTTTCTGTAGTCTATTTATTGTATTTTATTTTTCCTTTAGCTCAGTACTTGTTAATAGTCTACGTGCTGTCTGGTCTGTTTAGGGTGTTACATGTCATACATGTGTGACTCGCCAAGTCAAGTTCCTTGTATGTGTCACATACTTGGCGAAATAAAGTGATTCTGAAAAGATATCCACGCTCGCTGCTGAAGACCTAAAAAGTAGCTAGTAATGGTTTCTAAGCAGTGACTGGAGTGCTGAGGACAATGGGGTGGGTTTTGAGATGGGCCTGATCAGGGTTGGGATGCAGTATACGGTGTGTGCTGGTGCGATGTATAGTCTGCTGTTCCAAACACAGCCTAGGAAAACGTCCTTCTGATGTGTTTTGAAGGTGGGAGGAAACTGGGGAGACTGGTTTTAGTGAGAGCACTGATGGATAAACACAACAAGGATGCAAAGCCATGAACTCTGTTAAACCAGTGAGGCTGAGGGATGCAGTGCTACAGAATATTGCATAATACTGTACGTAACAGTAAAAGCTAGTTTTTAGTTTTTAGGCAACCAGGTCTGATCTTTTGAGTCGATGGTCAACACTGTTATTCACAAGTGATCAGATTTGTGTGTCCAGACATCCAGTCTACCTGCATGGGTTGCCGTGGTAACGCCGTGGTAGTCAGTAACTACGTAGCTATGGTGGTGATGCAGATTTCAACGCGGATGCAGGAGAAATGGAGGAGCATCATCTCGCCCTCCAGACTCTTTCAAATTCTCTTCATCATCATGAATCTATGGTGCTCCTCTTGAATCCCAGCACTTCATCACTCTGGATTTGACATTCGTCATTTTTTGTGACACAAAAGACCCGATCTGAAACCCGATCGGAGTGCCAGAAGGGCACGCATATGTAAAAAAAATTCCAATTGAAATCGGATCCAAATGTGGTTTGGATTTTAAGCTGTCCAGCCAATCAGTAATCAATCTGGATATAAATCAGATTTTTGCTGGCAGTCTGAACATAGCCTTTGTTGCTCTAATGGCAAGATGGCCCTGAAAAAAAACAAACCAAAACTACACCCTTGCTGCTACAGCAGGACCTAAAGCTCTTCACTAGTGGGTGTTTTGTAATTTAGGTTATGCTGTTTTTTCTCCCGTCAGCTTTATCTGTCTCTCTGTGTGTTCAGGTGACGTGTCTTGCCCTCCTCATCAGTTCCAGTGCAGAAGCTCAGAGTGTTTGGACCCCTCTCTCCTCTGTAATGGAGAAACAGACTGTATAGATGGGTCAGATGAGGGCGGGACCTGTTCCACTGATACATGCACTGACCAATCTCGGTGTGCACATGACTGCTACAGCACACCCACAGGAACAGTAAGCCAGCTTTTAAAGGGGAATTCCACTGATTTTTCTGAATTTCTGTGTAATTCAGTGTTTGAGATGTAAATAGTCAGGTTTGGTGTGTCTTTATGTAATGTTGATGACAAAATATTGGGAAATCTGAAAATATATGTAGCCGATCTAAGAGCGCATATGAAAGTGGATTAGGTCTGTTTTGAAAACCGCACAGCTCTGAAAACCTAAACGCTGGCCGTATTTACATTAATTCTCTTAGCTCACAAAGGCAGTGTTAGTCTCAGAAACTCACCCTGTCATTATGACTGTCTCCTCAGAGTTGCTGGTGCAGGGTGGGCTACAGGCCTGTAGGTGGCGCTGTGGAGTGTGTGGACGTGGACGAGTGTGTGGAGACTCCAGCAGTGTGCGCTCACTCCTGTATAAACTCTGTTGGGTCGTTCCAGTGCTCCTGTAACCATGGTTACCTTTTGGGTCCTGATGGACATACCTGCACAGTTGCAGGTAAGACACGGGGGGCAGCGGTGGTCTCTGCACCAGGCAAAGGTGGCCAGCTGCCTAGGGTCCCTTGAAAATACAGGTTAGATGTGCTGCATATGGTGATGTTAAATAATCTGTACACAAAACATATGTACACTTTGAAGATGGCTGTTAGTTACGACTGATCAAGCCAGTCAGACCTCGTGACCCAAATGACCAAGCTTGGTCATCCAGCATGACCAGTGTTACCACGCTTGGTCGTCTAGCATGACCAGCGTTACCAAGCCTTGTTGTCCAGCATGACCAGTGTTACTGAGCTTGGTCGTCCAGCATGACCAGTGTTACCGAGCTTGGTCGTCCAGCAAGATCAACGTTAGCACGCTTGGTCGACCAACCTAAGCAAACTGGTCAACCATCATGATCTGCGTGAACCAGCTTGTCAGTGCGACCTTGCATGACCAACATTGGTCAACCACTGTGACCGAACTGGCCAAACTGGCAGTAAGACCAGCATGAACTGAGCTCAACTTCTGTTTCAAACATAGCATTTTTATAATGTTAAATGAGTCAATAAACTGAAAATGTAAGTAACTAACGTGAGGCACATGTTGAACTGACGACATTCACTGTTACAGAAACCTCTTCTTAACCTAATAAAGCGAACTTCACCCACGGACCATTTGTGTTTCAGGTGAGTCATACCTGCTGGCCTCTGTCCAGTCTGAGCTGCTTCTGCTGGACCTGCAGACCTCCAGCTTGGATGTGCTGTTCTCCTCAGAGACGCTGCCTGCTCTGTCTCTGGACTACGACCTGCAGAAACAGAGAGTGTACTGGGCAGATGCAGAGGCTGTGAAGTGGATCACGCTGGACAAGAAGAGCAGAGGAACTCTAGTGGGAGGTGAGGAAATGAGGAGCTTAGATGTACCGTACAGCAAGGAGCAGGGTAATGAAGTGCACACGGCCAAAGACGAGCTCAATGGTACGTAAGAAAATCAGGCTATGTAGTTTATGTTCCGGCTGCATGGCTTTGCTGTGTTTACATTATGATGGTAGAAGGTCAAACTGGATGTTCCATTAAATTCATTGGAGCGGCAGTCAGCATACTGCAGTGGTCAGCAGAACGTTCCACCAAGAGTTCAGATTTGCCAGCAATGCTGTTATTTTTTTAGTCGCCAGTACTCGAACAATTTGTCCTAGAAGTCCAGCTGCATCTAGTATTACACAACAAAAAATAAGAGGACGTGATTTTTTTTTTTTCTACCTCATATAAACACTGCTGAAGCTCCTCCTCCTCTGAGCACTGATTCTCTCTGTAAAGTCATTGTAAATAAGCGAAGAACCTGGTTCTAGACCAGCGCTCCTGCTATGAGAAGCTTTGGGAATGTGTGTCCTGAAGTGACTTGGCTGCTGTGAAGCTCGAGTCTTGTGAGATGTAGACCTGGCCATGTGTTCAGCAGTTCTTTCTTCTTCCTGCAGGTGTGAGGGCAGGCAGCGTGGCGGTGGACTGGGTGGGTCGGAGCCTGTACTGGACGGACAGAGTGGACGGTCAGATAAACGCTGTGGGGCTGGAGGGCTCGGAGCCTGTGGTTATAATGGAGAAGGACGTGGAGGAGCTGCAGGCGCTGGCCCTGCTGCCTCAGAAAGGGTGCGAACACAAGGAGCTTTGGTTTTATAAGTGGATGAACACCATTGTCTGTACAGAAAGAGAGTTAAAGTCAGTATTTGTTCGTAAGAACACACATCTGGGGGAAAACGTCTTCAATTTTGCTGCTGGATTGAAGTAAAACGTGCCATCAACAAGGCCGCTGTCATTCACTACCAGCTGTTTTGTCTAATATTGCAGCATGTAATGTTCTGAGAACAATGCACGGTACTAAAGGGGTGGCTGGGGTGGCCAGCGCCCTCCCTGAGATCTGATTGGCCATGCCAGATGCCACCTCAAATTTCTCTCATATCATTGGCGTCCACCTCATTGTGGAGAGGAGCCTAGATTGGTTCAGAAATTTCAGTGTTGGTTTGGTTTCCACCCTCATTTAGCCCAAAATATCTCATGGTTACCTCCAGATGTACCGTACTGTTAAAATGAAATGGTCATAAACTCTGCTTCCTGTATGTCAGGCTGATGTTCTGGTCAGAAACTGGGGATGAAGCTCAGATAGGAAGAGCAGGGATGGACGGATCAGACAGACGAGTGCTGGTGCAGGACTCTGTACGCTGGCCTGTGGGTTTGGCTGTCGATTCTCTGAAGGAGCGCCTGTACTGGACGGATGAGCAACTGCACTGCATTGGATCAGCCACACTGGACGGAGATGACGTCAAGGTACTTTATGCCTGTCCTGATGAAGGCAGCAGAGTGCTGACATTAGCGAGATGGCTGTTGTGAAGTTCATGACGCCTGAATCAATGTGTGAGAGATTTTATTTTTCTGTTACTGGTCAAATGTCTAAAAAAATATTGTCACACTCTATCGTGAAAATTTTAGTTTAGTCATATATACCGCCCACCTCTAATCAGCTTATTTAATAACAATAATAGAACCTAAAACTCATTTGGACTTGCTAGTGAGGCGAACTGCCGCCTGAGGTCTTCTGAGGTGCAAAACGAATAGGTTCCTATGGAGCCTTTGGGCAGAACTGTAATTTTTAGTGCTTAATCCTCTTTATAACACTTATATTTTTATAACTCCAGCCTCACTCAGCCAATAAGCTGATCAGCCAACCAACATTTGTGTTGGAGCAAAAGGCTGGACCAGTTTGAGAACCACTAAGCTAAAGGGTTAGCATTAGCAAAGTAGGCTCATGATGCTATGTTCAGTGATTCAGCTGGACAGTACGTCTGTCAGACCACTACAGATATTTTACATGCCATGTTAACTTAATAGGTAAGTTAATAGGTTATGAGCTGTAAATTCAAGGCAATGTGTTTTGATTAAACCATTAAAGAATGTTTTAAATATATATGTGAAGTTACTGCAGCTGATGGAAACCCCCAGTCCGTTCTCCTTGTCCGTGTTCGGTGATGTGGTCTTCTGGTCAGACATTCATAAAGGAACCATCCAGAGAGCCCACAAAGTCACAGGCAAACAGCCACAGGTCTTGCTCGACCGCCCCGGACGGCCTCTCGACCTCAAGGAAAGTACAGCTTTCACCTTATTCATCAAAACGGGTTACATTTTGCATTTTGACTGAAAGGGAGGTGTAAAGCACTGTTTGCACAGGATCAGTTTTCTATAAGGATGTGGGGTAATGTGTTACCACATTTCAAATGTTTATGACTGATTTACGTTGGAGAAGAAATCTCTGTATACAGTTAGGCCCAGAAATATTTGGGCAGTGACACAGGTTTTGGCATTTTAGCTGTTTACCAAAACAGATTCAAGATAGTTATATAATCGTCGGCTTAAAGTGCAGACTCTCAGCTTTAATTTGAGGGTATTCACATCCTATTTGGAGGGTTTAGGAATTACAGCTCTTTAATATGTAGCTGCCTCTTTTTCAAGGGACCAAAGGTAATTGGACAATTATCTCAAAAGCTGTTTCATGGGCTGCATGGGCTATTCCCTCGTTAATCCATCATCAATTAAGCAGGTAAGAGGTCTGGAGTTCACCACGAGGTGCAAACCATTAATCAGCCTCAAGCATAGAAAGGCCAGATTAGACTTCACCAAAAAACATCTAAAGAGGCCAGCCCAGTTCTGGAACAGCATTCTTTGGACAGATGCAACTAAGATCAACCTGTACCAGAATGATGGGAAGAAGAAAGTATGGAGAAGGCTTGGAACGGCTCATGATCCAAAGCACACCACATCCTCTGTAAAACACGGTGGAGGCAGTGTGTTGGCATGGGCATGCATGGCTTCCAATGGCACTGGGTCACTAGTGTTTATTGATGATGTGACAGAAGACAGAAGCAGCTGGATGAATTCTGAAGTGTGCAGGGATTTACTATCTGCTCAGATTCAACCAAATGCAGCAAGGTTGATTGAACGTTGCTTCACAGTACAGATGGACAGTGACCCAAAACATACTGCGAAAGGAACCCAGCAGTTTTTTTAAGGCAAAGAAGTGGAATATTCTGCAATGGCTGAGTCAGTCGCCAGATCTCGACCCGATCGAGCAGGCACTTCACTTGCTTAAGACAAAACTTAAGGCAGAAAGACCCTCAAACAAGCAACAACTGAAGACAGCTGCAGTAAAGGCCTGGCAAAGCCTCACAAAGGAGGAAACCCAGTGTTTGATGTCCATGTGTTCCAGGCAGTCATTGCCTGCAAAGGATTCTCAACAAAGTATTAAAGGAACATTTTATTTATGGTAAAGTTAATTAGTCCAATTACTTTTGAGCCCCTGAAATGAAGAGGCTTTGTAGAAAAATGGTTGCAATTCCTAAACATTTCGTAGGATATTTTTGTTTAACCCCTTGAATTAAACCTGAAAGTCTACACTTCAGTTGCATCTCAGTTGTTTCATGTCAAATCCAATGTGGTGGCATGCAGAGCCCAAATCATGAAGATTGTCACTGTCCAAATATTTCTGGGCCTAACTGTAAATCACAGAAATGGGCATGGCTGTTAGTGGTTATTTCTATGGTTCATTTTATAGCACAGGATTAATATAATGTATGTCTACAGTTAACTTTATAGCAGGTAATAAAACCTGGAGTTTTAATTGGCGCAGTAGCTTGCATGGCAGAATCAGATGGGACTAAAATCACTGAGGAACACCTAATTACTTCACTCAACCTCCTAATGTAAAACAAAATTCTTCCCAAGACAGCTTGTGTGTGTGTGTGTGTGTGTGTGTGTGTGTGTGTAGATAATACTGTGTTTTTATAAAGCTGCTAAGTTTTCATTGTAAAATGCCAGGTATGTAATTTGTTCCATTAACAGGTGATCCACCCGTTGTTGCAGCCGAGTGTGGAGAACCCGTGTGCGTCAAGGAGCTGTTCTCACCTGTGTGTGTTAGCACCCGGTCTGAAAGGTGTGTGTAAGTGTCCATCTGAACTCGAGCTGGATGAGGACAGACTCAGATGCTACGAACCCAAAGACCACACCTTCCTCTTGCTCCTGTCCCCGACTGCAGTAACACAGGTACTGCGACTACTGCAGTTACCCTCCACACAGAAAGGTGAAGCCAGTCTGAGCTCAAACCAATATAAATGTTCTTAACTTTGTTTGAACAAACATTAGTCACTGCGCTCTAAACAGATGTTAACAAGCATTGCAAACTTTATAGGACCCTCTGAAAGTGTTATCAAACATTACTCAGCGCCGCCCTCTAAAGGTGTTAACATCAAATAAAGAGTCGTCGCTCAGCGCCGCCCTCTAAAGGCGTCATTAACCAACATCGAATGAATATTAATATGCTTGTGTGCAGACACTGTATCTGCTGAGCCTGTGTGCTGGAGTGATGGAGGTATACTGTTTTCCAGGTGAACCTGCAGAGCCGTGATACAGGTGTGGGTCTGCAGGACTGGCCGGAGCACCGGAGGATCGACCTGCCCGGTGTGCAGGAGCTGAAGAAGCTGGACCTGGTCATTCAGGACAAGGCTCTGTACGTGTGGGATGCAGGCCAAACGGCTGTGGGAGCTGTTCAGGGTGAAGGACTCGGGGGCGTCGCGGCGTGGATCACTGTTCAGCCTGCTGAACGATATGCTGGCCGCAATGGCCGTGGACTGGGTCACTCTGAACCTGTACTGGAGCAGCAGCAGTCAGTCTGGCCTCTGGGTCACCTCAGCTAAGGGCACTCAGACTGCGCTCATCCTGCAGGACGAGGTCAGGAACGTGAGCTCCATCACCCTGCAGCCTGTGGCTGGCCGGATGTGCTTCACTAACAGTGTCCAGCTCAGCAGGGTCCAGCTGGAGTGCTCTTATATGGATGGACAGAAGCGGAACGTGGTGTGGGTGGACGCTGTTCAGCCGGTCTCACTGAGTCTGTCTAATGAAGAGAACCGGCTGTACTGGGCCGATACCAGTGAGTTACTGCTGGAACATTTCTAGATTTATTTTTGCTTAATTTTGATCTTACTGGAAATGTTATGCCAGTACAAGTTGCTTTGATATTTTGATGAGGTTCACTTGTAGCTCCAAATGCCACCATGTGGTGGTAACAATAATTATATTTTTAGTTGATGTATGAAATGCATAATGCTTGTTTGTTTTTTTTTGGTTTTTTTTTGCTCAGCCAAATTGTCTGCTAACTCATCTCATCCCACAGTTTGACATATTGACGTCAAACCAGTTCCAGTATGTTTGGTCTGATTGAGTAGTGGATAGTTGTTGCATAGCAACCACTGTTTTCCCCTCACCCTCCACCATCATAAAAATAGGAGAACACTCAAAGATATGTGATAAAAGCATGCTAGCAAATACCTAACAACCACCTGGGACACCATACTCACAAACCAAGAGATACCGTATTAACCACCTGGCAAAGCCATGGAAATCACCTTCAATACTACAGCAAAAACCTAGCAACACTCTACCAGCCACCTAGCAACCATGACATCACATAGCAACCACCTAGTGATGCCTTAACAATCAATACCATAGCAGCACCGTATCACAAGATACTCAATAGCAACCACCTCCAATACCATAGCAACCACATAGCAACACCCTAGCAACCATGGGGAATAACATGAACCACTCAGTAACACTCTAGCAACTGCCTAAGATATAATAACCACCACCTAGCAACACCTGAACAACCTAGCATCCACCTAACAACTACCTGGAATACCATAGCAACAATCTATCAAAACTCTAGGGTTACTTAAACTGTACAGTTGTTCTGCATTTTCTTCAGGAAGTTCACTTTTCTAGTTTATTACTGTTTACTTGTTAATATGCATGAGTAGAACTACCTGCGTTACGTTGGAGTTCATTTATGTTGACCATTCAGCCTCAACTAATATAGAGGCTGAATGGAAACAAATATCGTCTTATTCTTGTTTTATTGTTTGAGTTGCAGTTCAGTTAGAGCAGTCAAGACCATAGATAAACCTTCAGCACAGCGCTGTGACACAAATCAGTGCAGAGGTGCTGATTTCTCTCTAATTCTGTCAGATATGCTCTGTTCTTTTTCCTTCAGGTCTCGGAGTCGTCGCCTCGGTTGGGCTTGATGGCACTGATTATAAGGAGATAAGAACAGAGGAGGGCTTGGTGACCTTTACTTTGGCCAACAAAGTCCTTGTCTGGGTCACTAAAGAGAGGTTAGTGAGACTTTGTTTACATTCGCTTGTTTTGTTTAGTGTTTGTTTGTTTGTTTGTTTGTTTGTTTATTTATTTATTTATTTTCTAGATTCCATGAAATGCTGGTTCAGTGATGACCAGCAGAGGGCGACACTGTGGTTTGAAGTGAAAGCTGAAGTTGTAGATGTGAAAGCCTTCAGTAAAGCCGGTCAGACAGGTATTAGTCCACACTTATTCTTAAAAAGCTAATATGCAATAGGACATTTATACTAATGTGAATGGCAAATATGTAGATTTCTAAAAGTAAGTTGTAGATTAAGTATGCTCCCCAAATAACTGTCTATTCTGCTCATGTTTACTGTTTAGTCCAGCTGCTTCTGTGTATTAAGTGTGTTTCAGTAAAACCTGACCTGAGTGGTCAGTGGTGAAGTGTGAACTGTATTTCGTGATGATGTGTCCAGGCAGTAACTCCTGCTCTATCAGTAATGGAGGCTGTGCTCAGCTGTGTCTGCCGTATCCCGGAGGCCGGACGTGTCTCTGCGGCAGCGCTTTTCTCTCTGCTAATGAAACGGGCTGTGTGCCGGACCCCCGCTGCCCCTCAGGAACGCAGCCGTGCGTGAGTGGGGAAGAGTGCGTGTCCCAGGAGAGATTCTGCGACGGCCGGCCGGACTGCGCCGACCGATCGGACGAGATCTGTGAGAATTTTTCTCTTTACTCACTCAGACTGGACCAGGGGTCTCTAGCTCTGCTAGGTCACTCAGAGGAGGGTGTGTAATGTGATGTGGGAGATGATTGGCTGATTGGTAATTTTAACCAGGTTCTCACAGAGCTGTTGAGGTGAATTAAGGAAAGCATCATTAATGATAGATAGACAGATAGATACATAGATAGACAGATAGAACTTGATCTAACTTGATCCTGAAGGGAGACTGCAGTGTTACAGCAGTAAGACATAATTGCACATAAACTTACTTACATTAGGCAGAAATAGAAAAATAGACAAACTATGAAAGAGTAGGAATAAAAGTATGTCTTGCATATTTACATAAAATCTAAGACAGATTTGTTGTATTTACATCAGAGCAGGTGTTGCACTAAGTGGTCTGAGGTCATTTCAACACAATGAATATACGCATAAGTATGATAATAAAGCTCATAGTTACAGTTAAACCTAACGCCTTTAGTGTTGTTTTGAAATAAGCAGTGGTGATGGATGGTTCATTTAGGCCCAGTCCCATTTCTTCTTTTTACCCCTTGCCGTTGTTTTCGAGTACCACCCTAACCCCTTGGAACTGAGTTACAATGGTAGTGGTTGAAATCTTGCCCTACAAAATGGGACCCTCGAGAAAAAAAAAAAAAGACCCTGCCAGTCTGCAGTGACAGCAGAGGAGGGTAAAGTTCAGCTCCTCACTGCTGGGCTTTAGTTACATTTAGGGCATCATATGACTTCAAAGAGGGGGGCAATTATTTATTATCACCCACCCCTAATTCTTCAGTGGTATGAAGCTGAAGTCAGATATTCACCAACTTCTCGTTTGAATTTTCCCATTCCACCTTAAATGGAGCAGCTTCAGGCATCAGAACTGCTGGACTATTTAAGGTGGAACGGGAAAGTTAGCTAGCTAGCTACCAAGATATTAGCATGCTACTAACAGTTTTTTAAAGCTTGTTGTGAAGAAAACGACCATAATACACTGAATAACATTAAACTAAGATAAAACAGTGCTTATCATAATTTTTTAACTGAGAAAATTCTCACATTTGTGGGTTTCTTTGGTCTCTTGCGCAGCCATTTTGCCCTTTTTTTTAAATTATTTAATTAATTAATTTATTTATTTATTCATTCCCCTCTCATAACTCTCTGGAGTCTCTGAAAAACCTTTGTTTGGAGGGTCATGTAGCCCCAACACTTCGCCCTACCCCTCTATCTCAACAAGAATCGGGACGCCCTAAACCTAGACATGAATGCGCAAAACACGGCTAAGGAACACAGTCCGAGCAGTCCTTATAACTTTGTGTGAGTGGGCGGGGCAAAACTTCTATAGGCTGAATAGGTGGATAAATGTCAGTAAGTTGCTTCTTTTGAACCACTGAATTGAAAACGTGCTGTTTCACCATGTGAACTGGTACCTTTTGAAATGTTAATGTTTACGTTTTACTTCAGACTATGTTTCAAAAAAGTGAGGTCTGGTTTTTATCATATGGGCCCTTTTTTATATGCTGCTAAATGTAATGATGGTCCTGATTATCAAAATGGTGCTCCAAACCTTTTGCTAACCTGCAGTTCTTTCCAAATGTTTCTGAAAATTGTTTTGTAATTATTAAAGTGAATTTATTTACTAAATAATGGCTCTTGATTATGTATGTTGTGTCCATAGTATCAGAGAATGTCCTTCATTTATGCATATATAAACATATTAAGACCAAAACACTGCTTTTGTTTTTATTTTGATTTCAGGCGTCCAGGGCAAAGCTACAGCTATTGATGACCGCGTTCGTCCAGGCTCTGAATCCCCGCCGGCTGGACCGAGGTCCTTCAACACCTCTGTTTTGGTGAAGAAGCCGGGTTCTGACGTCAACCTTTCTCACAGTCCGATATTCCCTCCTCCTGCGACTCCGCGGAGTCGGGATAACGTTTTGGTGAAAAGCCAGGACCCTGATACTCGTCCCGGTTCTATAGCCCCCTCCCCCACCGCACTGGGCTCGGACAGTGGCGTTAAAGTAGACAGCGTGGACGCGGAGGCGTGCGGTGTGAGACTCTGTAACGGTAACGGTGAGTGTGTGTTGCAGGACGGAGCGACCGTGTGCCAGTGCGCGGCTGGGTACAGCGGGCCGCACTGCGAGGAGCCGCTGGGCGGCATTGTCCAGGGGCCGGTCATTTACGCAGCTGGAGGGCTGTGTGTGGCTGTGATCGTGCTGGGAGTGACCATTGGAATCATGCAGAAGAGAAAAGCTGCACATCAGAGGTTGGTAGTTGGTAAAGCTAACAGCTAGTGATGCTCTAAAGGTGCAGGAAAGGTTCTTTAGAGCATTTAAAGGGTTCTTAGTAAATGAGTGTGAAGAACGTTAAGTTTAAAAGGTCTCATTTCATGTGTGCCCCCCCCCGTCCACCCCGTCCACTTCTGTTTGTGCGGGTTTACATACCAGAAATGAGGCTTCATTTTTTTTAACATTACAATTTTCCAACTTTTCCATGAATTATTTAATAATTGCAAATAATTTTGTAAATACATTGAAATATTCAGTAACTACTATTAATATTCATTAACTATTAAGAATATTCAGTAACCAAATTATTCAGTATCAACTATGACTTTTTTAGGATTTATTAATTCAGTAACCACTATGAATTATTCAGCATCTACCATAAATATTCAGTATCTACCAAGAATATTAAGGATTTACTATGAATTATTCATAGGATTCCTTATTCATTATTCTTCTACATCTCTTCTATGATGATTCCTAAACTGTGTGCTGACAGAAGCGTGTCTGTGTTTTAGGCAGGCAGGAGCGAGAGAGACCAGAATGCAAGACCTGGAGAAGAGAGGAGAGCCCACACCCGCACCACCAAACGGCAAAGAGTCCGAACACACTGAGGTCAGATTCTGTTCCAGACAGCACTTAAAGCTGCAGTTCAGACTCCTCTGATCCAGAACTGACTGTCTTTAGCTAAAATGAATCGTGTACTGGCAAATATCAGTTAGAAAGCAGATGGATCCGGTTCTGAAAAAGGTTCAAAGCTGCATTTTTACTTGGTGAAAATAAATATAAGCAGAACACTCGTTCTGCCAGAATGCATGCTAAAAACATTAGAACCAGTGGAATAGATAAATTAAAAATTTACATTTATTTGCCTCGACGCAACATGGAAAACTCATTCTGTTTACTGTCTCAAATATGAAAAGTGAAAAAATTAAAGAAATCTAACGACTGTGGAAATGATTGCAGTCAGCTAAATAATTGATTAGGCAGTAATGTAATATTGGACAGGCCGACGGTCTAATTCTAAATGTATTACTGTCTCTAAAGGTACAGTGGGTACTTCCTGCCTTTGTGTGAAGTTCTTAGGATTTATCTGCCTTTTTCTTAATATTAATCACAAAAAACATCATCCCCTGCATAGGAACCCAGTTCTCTTGTAACTGAGGGGTGGACAGCTGTATATTCATGATTTAAAACCTCCAAAGATGCTGAAACGCTGAATTCAGTGATGAACTACTGAAGGTTCTACTTTCTAGACTTCTGTTAGCACTCATTACTAGCATAAGGTAAAACAAGCAAACACCATGCCTGGGGCAGCTTCAGCTCAGCAAACCTCGGCAGCTCTGGTCACCATCCACCACATTTTTCTCCATAATTATTCACACCCATGTTTGCTTTTCCTCGCTCCGCTGTTCATGACACGGTCACTATGAGAACACGGACGAAACAGTCGGCGGTCTTATCGTACATAGTGGTGCAGAACCAGCCCTCATGCGTACAATTGAACATTCCTCAGCTTGAATGATAAATGTTTATTTTAAATAGGGACTCTTTTTCAAAATGAAACTAACAGCAGCTACAGCTAATCATTTACATCCCTACACTACACACATGCTGGCTTATTGGCTGTATTTGTGGAGGGGGGTGTTGTAATATTCATTTACTCTAAAATCACTTTTAAAGCTCCTGTTGTGGACTGACTGACTGTTCTCTCTCTTCAGCAGGACGGGGCCTCGGCGGCGGATTAGCCCTCCACACTTTCCACACTTTTTCATCATTAAACAATAAAGCTTATTGAAGCAGAGCTGCTGTTTTACTGCCTTCACTTTATTTTGTACTGGATAATGTGAAAGACAGGAACGTTCACGTTCGTTCTGCTGTGTTTTGTGTCATGGTGAAGTAGATCTGATCAAACTTTCATCTCTGCTAGTCATTCATGTTGCTCAACACAACTGCAGATGAGCTGTTAGGGTACAATTAATTACGTTAAGGTTTGGTGGGAGGGGCTTATGCAAAGATAACAGCAGTGGGAGGGATTTATTCAGTGTGGTGGGCGTGTCCTAGCCTCTCTGAGACACCTGTGTCAGGTTTAGTAACAAAACTGCTGTGAAAGCGCATTAAGAGCAGTTATTTCACACACGTCAGTGTGAAGCAGCACAGAGGCTGAAGACTTTAAACATGGTTTAACTGATTACATCAAACAAAGTTAAATTCAGTAGAAATTCAAAGTTTGTAAAGTTGATTAAGTTCACACAGTTCAGAAGTTCTTTAACTACGTTTCAGAGGTTTTGTTCTGATTTAAAGTGGTGAATTTAGAAGGGCTCATCAGTGGACAAACTGTGATTTTTATTTATTTATTTTTAAATATAATGACATGGTGGTAACTTAAGTGTGGAGAGACGGTGTTAAGTAGAGTTTGAATGGGGTTCTTTGACTTTGAAAAAGTGTAGGATTTGAAAATGCCTGAATATGAATTGTAAAACTGAAAAATCAAAACTCAGACCAGCACAACACACACTAACACACCAGCACCACATCAGTGTTCCTGCAGTGCTGAGAATGACCCACCACCCAAAGAGTACCTGCTCTGTGAAACGAGGAGGTGGACTGGACAGTGCACACGTTGTGCTGTAAGATCTTCAGGGAACAGAATTTATGAAAATGTTCAAATTGCAGATCCAGATATTTTCCTTCAACGTTACTGAAGAGAGCACTGCTCTGCTGAGACGCCTTGGAAACAGAAAGAACATTTTATGGCTGCTGTGAAAGAGTTAGAGTTTTAGTCTGTAGGCGGAGCCTTATTTTAGCCATGCCCCTGCATTTCAGAGCATGAAGTGAGGCTGCATCTCTGTCCCTCATGGCCACATGGTGAGCAGTTGGATCCCACTGGTTTGAAGTAAATTTGTCCCAAAGTCTGAAAGTCGGTGTGGAACATTAAGAATCGTCAGATTTTTATGTTTTAATAAAAAAATGATTTTCTGTGTGACCAGCTGTTCAGAGCTGTGTTTGCTGGTCATGTCCTGGCCACATTTTTGAGCTCAAAATTAGCTAAAATTGTCACCACCGAAACAGTCACTACTGAAACATTTGATAAAGTTTTGGTAGAGTTATGATTATTTCGGTAATGACCAAATGGAATGTTCTGTCATTTATTTGAATAAAATCTGCATAATTAAGGTACAGGCCCTGTAGAAAAGCCCATAGAAACCATTAAGTCAAAGCAATAGGAGTCTAGTCTGTTAAGCTGTTCTCAGCTCTGACTTTGTTCATGTACTGTTTCTCTGGGTGTTCGCTGTTGGCACTTCAGTGAACATCTGTCTGCAGCTGGTCTGCTCTTGTATTTTTCTGTGACATTCTGATTGATGTGTTTATCCTCAGAACACTTGAGGCGTTCAGGGCTTTAATTGTGAATCTCTCAGGAAGGGCGGGGACCCCTGGGGTGGAGAGGGTGGGCCACAGTGCGGTACACGTTTCTGATCTGCCCAGCTGGGAATAACCAGACTGGTGGAAAACGAATAAAAAAAAAAGCATGTTTACTGCTGTTGTGCATGATTGACGGCCAGTTTGGTAAGAAGATGTAACCCCCTGTCACTCAGAGGGTCTTTATTTGGTGCCCCTTGTGTATAGACTGGATCTCTGACACGGGAAAACAAGGCAGATCTACAGTACTGGGCAGACGCATCATCTCCTCTATATAAACATCTTTTATACAAGTCAGTATTCATTTCCACTCAGATCAGAAACAGTGTGAGGCTCTCTTCAGTACGTCAGACCAAACAAGGTAATACCTCACAAATATGTTTATTTATATTCAGATTATTTACTAAATGACTCAACTGATAATTCTATTGGTCATTGGTTTATACAGAAGGTGGAAAAGATAATGGAAACGCCAGGCCTAAATATACTGTCACAAGACAAAACCTTGTATCTCTATTTTTGTTGGTTTTTGTTTATTCATTTTTTCTCAGCTGTGCTGTATTTTGTGTATATTTACTCTGCTAACCTCACTTTGTTGAAATAGTTTTCTTTCGTTTTTGTTTTTCTGAAAGTGCAGGTGAGATGGAGGGGCTGAGGGCAGCGCTCTGCCTCTTTCTGTTGGCCGCATATACATGTAAACCAGTGAGTATTTTTGCTTTTCGTGGTTATAAAAGATGCTGTGAGCTTTGTAATTTATGACTCTATGTGATGTAAACAGCTCTGCGTTTTGTTCTCTGTAGTATCTAAACAAGTCCTCAATGTTTGTTTTGTATACATTTATATATCAAACCTGTGAGCAGTGAAAAAGATGACCAGTGCAGAAAGCAATGGCTGGGAGAACATTTCAGTGATGTTAAACTAGACTGAATTAAAAGGGTAACTGCCTTCAACAATAACTGCTTATAACACCAAGAATATTAAGGCCACTGTGTATGAAATTTGGGGCCTCATATTCCTTATAAACAGATTTAAAAATATTTTACATATTTGTGTATTTTTGATAATTACATCATAACATACTTATAATGTTTATAACTATTACAAATACTTATTAAGCCTTATACTGGCTTACTCTAAGCCTTAAGTGCTGTTTATCTGATGGGGACAGTTTTGGTGTCTACCAGGTCTTCCAGGTGGTTGTTAGAAGCCACATTTTCTCTGTAGCTTTTAATCATTTTTTGAACTCCAGTTTTGGAAACTCCTGTGTTGGCATTGTTATGGGGCTGTCTGTTCCCTGTGCATATGATAATAAAGGCTTGATTCTTTCTTTGTTGTGTGATTGTGTCCACATGCACCGGCCCCAACAGATGTGCATCGTTACAGGAAGCCAAGAGTCCGCCGAGTCCAGTGAGTCCAGTGAAGAGGCCGCCAATGCAAAGGCAAAGACCCCAGGGCCCATCCTGCCAACCACAACGGATCCCCAACCTAACCACAGTCAGACGGCTCTCCCCAATGTTAATTCAACCACGCATGCGCCGGTAATCAGTAGCCACACGGCCAGGCCAGTTTACCCAGATGTAACCCCAGCGCCGCCAGTGCCAACTGGTTTCAGCATAGGACCACCAGACCCTCAGCCTGCTGTGAACATAACGGAGGGCGTCATGCTCCCCTTGTTTACCAGACGCCCTGACAACCGTGGAGATAGCGACTGACCACCCAAACACGCCACCAACCGCAACGCTAGTGCTGAATACCATCGCCACTGACCACAGGCCACAGTTTATAGGCCTCCTTCACTGTGCTTCATTTTCTTTGGCTTCAGTCGTGCAGTTTTAGTAGCTTAGTTAGTGGAGAGGCCGCAGCTGTCGTACTTCGCTTTTCTTACAGCATGTGAAAATGTAAGCTGACCCTTCAAAATGTGTGAACATTACATGATGACTGGACCAACATAAGTGATCCAAAATTGCTACATATATTAAAGGAGAACATAATTCAGTGGTTGAGATGCAAACAAAGTCATGTGGAGATGTCTTTACAGTGGTGGGAACCAGGGGTCGCCATGACTACAACACAAATATAGACATTTTATTTACTATCAAAACCACCAGTGAACCTACACGAGCCTTCTGAGTTTATATGGAATGTTGATGATGGGAAAATAGTGGAAAATCTGAAATAATAAGTTTTCTTTGGGGACTATTTTGCCTCACAGTGCCCTGCACGTATCCCTCCACCATGAATAAAATGCGTTAGACCAAAATTCTTTCATTACCACTGTAAAGAAATCTTCACACCACTTAATTATGCAGAAATATGGAAAAATCAGTGGAGTTCCTCTTTAAAAGTCCCACAGATTCCATTATGCAAAAACGTGTTGATTCTGAGCCAGCTTGAAACGGCGCTTCCAATCCAAACTTCAGAAAAGTCTGAAGAGGTGCTGCATTCATGTTTTTTTCCTCTCAACTGAATGTTAATGAATATGCAAATGACTTGACTGTTTTTCTTTAAAATATTAAATGCATCTAAAAGCCCTGACGGAGTGTGTGGACCTCAGTGTAAACCAGCTAAAGTGCATCAGATCATATGAACTGCTCATTCATTACTTGCAGTTAAACATGTCAGGCTAAAGGCCTCGCGGATGAAACGCTGCAGACTTCAACACACTGCCTCATTAAACACACCGGGTTCAGCTCATTAGCAAGGCCTTCATTAACTGAATTCAGGGCGTTAGATGAGGGTAAACGCTGATCTCCACAGCACTTCGACATGCCTGACTTAAAGAAAGAAACCACCCCATTTCAGAGAAAAGGCCTTTTCAATTTTTAATGATTAAACAGTCATATAATTTAAACACATTATTAGCAGCACAACCTCAGACAGCTGTACAGGTGATACAGGTTAGTCTGGATCTACTAGCAGACCAAAAACCCTCAACATTTCATTCTAGTCTTGCAGAGCCAGAGGTGACCTCATGACGAGAACATGTGGGGACAACCATGCGAAATTCTGGGCTAAATGTGGGTGGAAACAAACTGAGAGCGAAATTTCCAAACCAATCCAACAGCTTGTGAAGTTGGAGCTCACAGTAGGGGGCGCTGGTATGCTCATCAACACTGTCTGACAGAGAACAAGCCTGTCCTCAGCACATGGACGTAGCGTCCCCCTGAAATGTCCAACTGAAATTAAGCATGCAGATGTGAGTCGCATGCGCAGAGAAATCAATACAGTAAAAATAAACAAATGTAATATATACGTTTTTAATAATTACATAACACCTCTTACAGAGAAAAACACTTCCAGATAGCATTTGTTCTGCTCGTGTTATTGATCGTACTGAGGAATTTAAAAAACACAGACTAGAGAAGTTTGCGGGGTGGAGTTTAGAGGGGCGTGTCCTTGTTATTGTCGAAATTTACCGCAATCCAGCACCAAAACTTTAACAATTCGTCCCTAAACGTCTGTTCTAGTTAGATCACGTCAGACCCCAGCGAGAGTGACTGACGCTAGAGTAGCTAAGCTTCCATCCACACATTTTTGTGTATTTTGCCGTATCAAATAAAAAATTATAATTTTGCAAATCACATCAAAATAGGACGTTTTTTTGCAGGTAAAAGGAAATGCAGCAAGTCATGATGGAAAAGCATTAAACAATACATATGCAAATAGAGTCACATGACTGTCATTTCTGTAGCTGTAGATACCGGACAGGCAGCAGATTCCAGGTGACCGATTAAAACGCACTTTTATCACACAGCAGTGAGTGAGAAGCTGCCCAACACTAAAGACTTCAAGAAGTTCTCAGAAGGTTTGTTCTCTTGTTTAGAGCTGATGGAAATGCAGCTTTAGTCGTGTAATGATTTTGAGATTATTGGCTTCAATTTACTTCCACAGCTGGATGGAAACCTGGCCAGTCAGCATCTGTGTATCTGAATGAAAGAGCAGCTGAAACCGCCCAGTCTAAACACCTGTTTCCTGAGATTCACTTTTAATCGCACTAAACTCACTGTAAGCTCACGCATGATGAGAATATATGACACACACACAGTTTAATCTGTAAATAAGAAGCAGTTCATTATCGTTACAGTCAGAAACATGGGGGAGGAAAACGCTGGGACACAGATCTGGAGGAGAAATCCTGCACAAAGCTGGATAAACGCGCAGGGATCAGCCTGAAAAGCAGCCTCCTGTGAAAGGCCTGCAGCTGTAGAGGTGTGAGGTGAGCTGCTTTCACTTCGCTGGTCTCTTAAAGAAATCAGCGTTTTTCTGCTGCGTCTGTAGTCGAGAATCACCACAGATAAATTAGACACATTTTACTGAAAAGAACAGAAAACACACTCTAAACTCACTTATAGCAGAACTCAAAGGGCAGCTGCTCAATTCTGCGAATTAACGTTCGAAATATGTGGGAAATGTGACCATATTTTAGCGTTACTTTGGTACATCGAGTCACAAGTAGACCGAGAATATCGTCATTATGTGAGGAACACGGACCAACGACATGTTTCATTATAAAGAGAGCAGAATTAGTGCTGTTTAACTGGGTTTGGTGAAAAAACCTACTAATGAGGGTCTGTTGGTTCATTCTGTCTATTCTAGCTTATCAAACCTTAGAAAAGCTTAATATTGTAATGTGCATCATGAAAACATCCTCAATCATTGTGATACTGTACTTCTGTCAAGTCGCCCACCAGAATATAATGCAAATTCTAGACAACAGCTGTTCCAGTCTTAGAGAACCCGTGTTAGAAAGAGACAGACCGAAGTTTAACTTCACAACAGACCTCTGAGATCGTGTAGTTCTGTAGTCGGCATCAGGCCCATATTAGGAACTCTGGGTCTAAGCTGGTTTTCTCTGCTGGAAAGATGTATAAAAATAGTGTCCCGACAAACAATAATGCCGTACGTACATTTGCCATCCAAACGTCCCTGAATCCTCTGAATTACGAGGTCACTGCAGAGCTGAAATACGACCACCGCTGTCTTTTATACTCTAACTTGATCTTTGAGAACTCATTACTGCCATTAGTGGTAGGAGCTAGTACTACAACTTAATGAACACAGAACCAGAGGGACAACAGTTACAACGCAAGCTAACACTGCTGCGCACTGAACTGACATCATAACCGGCAAGTACAGAAAAATTAGCCCAAACAAACCAGCAGCGTCGTCCAGTGTGGGAGTTCAGAGGCGTCTGGCAGTTTTGACAGTGCTGAAGTTTAATAGTACACTACATGTTATGCTGCATCATTTTCATGTGCAGGAGCGTTAGCTTTAGTTATTAGCATGGGTGTGGCATTATTCATATTTTGGCTCCTTAACAGCCTCATAATGAAAAACGTATACTGGACAAAACGTAGCAGCTCTGGAACATTTCTGTTTACCACACAGTACGACAGCAGCAATCTCTGAGAACCCCATTCATTTTTGTCATAGAGAAAAACTGCTCAGATCCAGAGTTTCTAATATGGGCACAAGGCCGACTACAGAATGACAACATCACAGTCCCATGACGCAACCAGTAAAAAGTAGTTACGGTTACTTTCTCTAAGGTTGTCTGGTTTCTATGGTGATGGGTGGAGCCTGTGAAGCTCCTCCCACATCAGTATACTGTTAACAAATTAACAGATTCTTCTCTCTGGAAAAACTAAGGAATATATTATATAATATGCATATTTACAAACATTATTTTATAACAGAATTCAGCAGCTGCCCATTGACTTCTAATTTCTCTAACTTCTATTATGAGTGAGTTATGAATCAACAGGTTTCAGTTCAGGTGTTAAAATTACTGTCTGCAGTAACTGACCGTACGATACAGATGCAGCAGAAAACGCTGAAGTGTTCCTTTAAAAAGTACCTGCCGACCCAGGCAGATGAGTCAGAGACAGGAGGAAGAGAAGCGAGAACAGGGAAAAAAAGAAGGGAGTGAAAAGAAAGGAGGGAGCCTAATGCAGCTCAGGTCATTGGGTGTCTGTTTCAGGCTGCTGCTGCTGTTGCTGTTGTTGTTGTTGTTCTGTAGGGTGTATCAGCCCACTGTCCTGCACCGTGTTGTAGGAGCCACAACTGCTGCACTTCATCCCCAACACGTGGAAAGAAACCATGCAGTGACTCTGACAGTCATTACACAGGATCTGAAAATACATTAGAATCTGTCAGAATGACTGTGTGGATCATATCAACATTATAGAGGCTTTTAAATGAAACAGTAGAAGCCATATCGCCCCCTACACTTCCTGTAGTGTATTACAGTCTGTCAGAGTGACTGTGTGGATCATATGAACATTATAGAGGCTTTTAAATGAAACAGTAGAAGCCATATCGCCCCCTACACTTCCTGTAGTGTATTACAGTCTGTCAGAGTGACTGTGTGGATCATATGAACATTATAGAGCTTTTTAAATGAAACAGTAGAAGCCATATCGCCCCCTACACTTCCTGTAGTGTATTACAGTCTGTCAGAGTGACTGTGTGGATCATATGAACATTATAGAGCTTTTTAAATGAAACAGTAGAAGCCATATCGCCCCCTACACTTCCTGTAGTGTATTACAGTCTGTCAGAGTGACTGTGTGGATCATATGAACATTATAGAGCTTTTTAAATGAAACAGTAGAAGCCATATCGCCCCCTACACTTCCTGTAGTGTATTACAGTCTGTCAGAGTGACTGTGTGGATCATATGAACATTATAGAGTTTTTTAAATGAAACAGTAGAAGCCATATCGCCCCCTACACTTCCTGTAGTGTATTACAGTCTGTCAGAATGACTGTGTGGATCATATGAACATTATAGAGTTTTTTTAAATGAAACAGTAGAAGCCATATCGCCCCCTACACTTCCTGGGCCAATGCTGCAGTACCTTTACTGTAGTGTGCTGGTACTCTGGAGGCATTGGAGTCTGAGCGATCTCCTTATCTCTCTGCTCCCAGGCATCCTCCATATTCCACACAGACTGCATGCACAGAGGACAGCGAAATACACTGAAACAGATACATAAGGAAAATACTGTCACAGGAAAACTTCATAACCAAATTTTTAAACCACTGAAAACTGCCAGCTGTCCTACACTGTGTACACATTTCATGATGATTGAACCAACAGAAATTTGACAAAAGCACACCTGTGAAGTTTTTAAAGAAACTTTCAAAGATGTGAAGTTAAAACATTATTTCTTTAGAATTACTGTTTCAGATATATGACAAGGACATTTTACAAAGGTAGACTCATTGATTAGCTTATATGTGAATTTAATTATTACTTAATTCATTGGTTCAGATTTAAACAGAGTCGTTCAGAGTGGTTTGGTGTGAAACGCTCTGTTCTAGAGAAACTTACCGAGTCAGAATTGTCCACAGTCATGGTGATAGGAACCAGACGTCCACCTCTAAAAGCTCCCTCACAGAAAGTTACTACATGAAATCGTTATGAATTCACTGCATGATTTCTAAGACATTGTTTTATGAGGAATACATGCAGAGTGTTGTGAGGCAAAATAGTCCCCAAAGAAAACTTATTATTTCAGATTTCCATCATCAACATTCCATATAAACTCAGAAGACTCGTGTAGGTTCACTGGTGGTTCTGGATAGTAAATAAAATGTCTATATTTGTGTTGTAGTCATGGCGACCCCTGGTTCCTATCAGCACCACTGTAAAGACATCTGAGCCTCTACAATAAACCACTCTATTCAGACACAACACTCACCCAGTTCTGCACATGTCATCAAAGCAAGTCCTACAAACAAAGAAATAAAATAAAAACAGTTAATGATTCATTTATCTATCCAGCAGTGGGGCGTACATGGTTGGGCATGTGAGGTGAACGTGCACTGACTTGTGCAGCAGGTGACCGCAGCGCAATACATGGGCTCCGATCCTGGACGTGTGGATGTCCTCCATACATACAGGACAGTTCTGCCTGGACACGTTCTCCACACACTGAAAAAAACCATCAGCAACGTTAACAGAATCAACAGATGGCAGCAGTACAGCGCACTGGCTAACAGTGGAACATCATAAGCTAAGGTTCAGTTCTAGGATACTAAACAATCCCCAGAACCACGAGTCTGAATGAGTGATCAGGACGAGGAGATACTACCTACCTTGTGTTTCCCTTGAAGATCACTGACTAAACATAAATTACACTTCAAGCAATGGAAGTACTTCTCTCTAGGACCAATCCTGCCAAAAAAGAGCAGAAAAAACAGAATCTGAGGAAACAGTAAGAATAAGGCATAATAAGGACATTAAAATAAATTAATAATTAGCTATTTATCACAGTGGAAACTGTAAACAGCTACTAGTCAAGCAAACAGGTCTGTAAACGTGGTTTGTCTCACCTGCAGATGCCGCAGGGCTGGCAGTGGTACTGCTTCTTGTTTTTATCAAACAGGTGACAGATGTCGCAGTAATATTCCCCAAACTTCACCCCACAGGATTTGCACACCTGCTGCGCCTGAAACAGAGTAGACGAGTCTCACGACAGCTGACTAACTTCACCACGTGCTACACATAGTGTTTTTAAGCAGTTATTTGAAATGCGTTGAAGCCCCTAGGTTTCGAAACAGTGCTTTAAAGTGACCGAGACACGTGAAACACAAGCAAATGAAGTTTCCACACAAAATAAAAGATGAAAATGATGAATATATAACAAAATAGAACCGTCTTTGTACATTTAGGCCTACATCATGACATATTCATTATGATAATTAGAATTATAATGATGAAAATATATGGTAATAAATTTGGGTCATAAACAAACTCTACCAGCAGGTGATTCAATTGGTTCAACAGGTTCAAAGCTTGTTTCTCCCATTTCTAGCTTCAAAAGCTTTTAAAGACATATAATGGCACATAGACATCAGCATACATCACACCACACAGGTCACTGTGCGTTATTTAATCAACTATATTTCTAGCTCAGTGTTTTCCAGCTCCAGTTCTGCAGGCCCATCATCAATGGAGGAGACCAGTGATCTCAACTGCTTCTGAAACATCACCTCGAAGGTCTCTCCTCATTCAGGTAGAAGGGCCTGGCCCTTTATAACAGGAAATAACTGGTCGAGGGCGCAATCTGAGTGGACAGACCTTCTGTCCACTCAGAACTCTGGCTCAAGTTCATCAGGTGTTTATGAGCAGGACAAGGGCAGGTGGATCTACAGCAGGGGAGCTGGAACTGACTAATCTAGCTACATCTGCAAAGAACACATTATCCAGGACTTTACCTGCTGAATGGAGTTGCACACGGCACACTTGACCTCCTTCACCTGAAATCGGTCCATCTGGTGAGCCTCCTCAGCATCGTGGCAGAGCCTACACACATAAAACTTCCCGCAGCAGGGAGCCTGAGGACACAGGAGGCACAACAAAGTGGTTCGGTAAGGTGCTTCAGACCAGCCAGCTCTCTACAGCCAGTATAGTAAAGCCTTGTCCCATTTGTAGCACTTGTGACCCTGCAGTGCTCACTTGTGCCTGCGCACAAGGCCATAGGGTGTCCTGTTTCTCATTTAGGCACTCACAAGTGCACCCTTAGTGCGGCCTTCGGCAAGGGCTGTATCGATGTGGTCCTGTATCTCTCTGATATTCATAGGCAAGTTAAAATGCATTTCTATATTAATTTACCTTATTATTAAGCTACAATATGTCTGTAATCGATATAGAGCCCTTCAAATCTAGGGCCCTTGATGTCTCCTGCTTCTTACATCTGCACGCTGGTGATGTATTTGGGACAGACTCCAACTCTGAATGACATCAAGGCATTGAAATCACTACTGACACATGGAGAAAAGCGGTTTGCACACCTACATGTTACTAAAGGTGGATTATTTAGGCCCCCCATGTTCATTAAACCACAATCATTGTGAAAATAACACAAATTAAACTAAACGTTAGTGTTCACGTCTCTAATCTCGAATACTGATAAAGAAGAGACGCTCAGTAACAGGAACGAAGCTGAATTAAGCTTCCTACTCGAATTTTCACTTCCACCTTAAATAAAGCAGCAGGTACGCTCTCCTGCACACACCTTTTAAGGTGGAACGGAAAATTCGAGAAGAAGCTAAACTCGGAAACAGCTCCGCCGCGTTTTTCTAAGTTTCTGTTACTCAGACTGGGCTGTTTTAGACCCCTCAGTAACAGGGACGAATGCGGAATTAGCTTTATACGGGCTGTCCGTCAGTAAAAGCCCTTAAATGAGCCCTTTTTCTGCGAACGCCGCTCAAACTCACACAGCAAATCACGGCTAATGCTAACAGGCTAACGGCCAACCGCTGACATTCAGACCAAAACATCAGCGGATTATACTTTAAAAGCGCTTAAAGCCTCTGAAAGTAATGTAAATGTTCACACAGCGGGATTGAAAAGAGGAAAAAGGTAAAAATGTATAAAAGTAATTCTCACTTTCAGCAAACAGCTGCGAACATAATGCTCACATCCCGCTTCTGTGGCCATGTTTACCACAACGGCTTCAGACTTCATTTGAAACGGGAGAGAGAGGGATAGAGAGAGAGAGAGTGAGAAACAGAGCAGAGAGAGAGAAAGACAGAGTGAGAGAATAGAGAGAGACAGACAGACAGAGACAGACAGATAGACAGAGAGAGAGAGAGACAGACAGAGAGAGAGAGACAGAGAGAGGGACAGAGAGATTATTATTATTATTTTATATTTTTAAATAATCTCTTCTTTCATCGCTTTGACAACAGTTGTTAATTGCAATTCATGCCAATAAAGCTATTTAACATTGAATAAATTGAAAATTGAGAGAGAGAGAAATTTTACTGTAAAAAAATTTCACCACCTCAGAGACAGTGGGTAACACTAAACCCCACCCTACTGAGACCCCCAACACTACACATATGTAAAAATAATAATAATAATACCTACATCATCTAAACCGCTTATCCTTCTGGGTTGCGGTGGGGTGCTGGAGCCTATCCCAGCTGTCATTGGGCGGAAGGCAGGATACACCCTGGACAGGTCGCCAGTCCATCGCAGGGCAGACAGACAAACAGACAGACATACACACTCACACCTGGGGGCAATTTAGCATGTCCAATCAGCCTGACTGCATGCTTTTGGACTGTGGGAGGAAACCGGAGTACCCGGAGGAAACCCACGCAGACACGGGGAGAACAGGCAAACTCCACACAGAAACGACCCTGGTCACCCGGCCGGGAATCGAACCCAGGCCATTCTTGCTGTGGTTAAATAAGTATTTCAGGACAATTTTGCCTTACGATGCTCAGTATGTGCCTTTCTGCCATGAGTGGATTAAAAAAATACCTTTTAGGCCGAAACCTTCATAAAACTATCATAAAACAAAGTCTTAGACGTTCGGTTCCTATCACCACCACTGTGAACAACTCTGACTCTGTACGTTTCTCTAGAACAGAGTTTTTCACACCAAACCGCTCTGAACGGCTCTGATTACATCTTAAGCATTTAATGATGTAGAAATTGTAAAAAAATGGAGGAAGACATCTCATTCAGGAATTTGTAGAACTGTCGTTGATGTTAAATGACCAACATTAAAGATTACATTGAGAGCAGTACTTTACTGCCTGAACTCATATACAGACTAACCTTCAGCTGAAGTCCAATATACTCCACCCTTAACTCTGTTTACTCTCCGTTAGCTGCCCTCAGCCATGTGTGACAGACGGGCCACATAAGGCTTAGCAGGCGTGTCCTGAGACACAGAAGCTCTGGACCTCAGCCTGGAAAAACAGAACCAGGGCTTGTGTTTGTGGTTGTGTAACTGACCACATGTAAACAGGGGTTTAATAATAAATAGATTAATTACCAAAGCTATCGAGGAAATTATTAAGGAAATTAAATATACACATGAAATGTTTCCCAGCTTTTCAGGGAAGATGCACTTCCTGAGCCAGCAGACGGAAGTGCATCTGCCTGCAAAGACTAAAAACCTGCCTGTTATCCCTCCAGAACTGGCTAAATGTCCTTAATCTCATCTTTTGGGGGGTTTAATCCCTTGAGAACCCACACACCACCCATTACATATGTACAGTAGCTTCAGGAGAAGCTAACTGAGATACTTGACCAACAGAACTGAAGTACATACATGTACGATCACACCGCACTGCCTTCAGACCAAAATGGCTTTAAAGTCACTCAGAATGGTTTGGTGTGAAATGGTTCAGAGGTCTTTACAGTGGTGGTGATAGGAACCAGGGGTCGTCATGACTACAACACAAATATAGACATTTTATTTACTATCCAAAACCAGCAGTGAACCTACACGAGCCTTCTGAGTTTATATGGAATGTTGATGATAGTAAAATCTGAGAAAGTAAGTTTTCTTAGGGGAATATTTTGCCTCACAATGCCCTGTATATATTCCTCCACTATCAATAGAGGTAAAAAAAAACACATTTTAAGCCAAAACCTTCTTAAAGCTGTCATAAAACAGGGAGCTTTTAGAGGTGGATGTCTGGTCTCATCACCACTGTGAACAATTCTGAGTAGGAAAATTTCACATCAGTTCACTCCAAACGACTTTGTTTACATCTTTAAATTTTGAAAAATCAGTGCATTTGGTTCTAAACGTTTGACTGAGATCAGAAATGGCCTCAGTCTTAATGTTCTGCTGAATTTGTTGGTTACAGTAGATGGTCAGTGCGAGACTATGTCAAATGATCAAAAAATCAAAATTCTGGGGGTTTCCTGAAAATAAACTTATATTGACTTTATACTGTCATTATTTTTCATGCTTTACCCATAACTGACAAGTTTCTGTCTTTGGAATTTTTGACTAACTAGAGCTGCAGCACTGGTCTGCCTCAGGGTGGTGCTGTAGTTCACCCAGTTGGTCCTTCATGGACTTAGCAACTGTAACTATGCTCAGAATACCTCTAAAAACTTTACAATGTGCTGTAGCATATTTAAATCTGAAAACTTGCCCAATTTTCCCAAGAGACTGGCGTTAAGACTTTCTCAAACCGAACACAAATAACATGTGTAAGATCTCAGTTAATGTGTGGACAAGTGCATCACCAAACTTGAAAAGAGCATTTCCAGAAAAAGAATCGTAAACCAAACATTTTTTGCCATTGAAGCTAGCATCAGTGCTTCTATGGCAAGTGAGCAGCCAGCCAACGCTGGATTAGCGAGCCAACAAGGGGCCCCCAAATACCAGGGAGTATTTCGCACACTGCACCCCCCCACACACACCTTACCCCTAATGTAGTCAATCACATGTTTGGTGTCTGAAGTTAGCTAAGAGACTAATGTAGCCAATGGAAATTCATGAAAACAATGCACAATGCTAACTGCGTGTCTAAACCACATACTTGCCTCAACCCCTGTGTTGTTCTAATAGACTTGACTGATTTGTGACATCGTATGACTCACTGTTATCTACAAACATGGACTAAAGTCAGGCTTCAACTACCGTTCTGGCTACTATTATCATTATAACATATATTGTCCATTAATTGTTAGCTACATTAGCCTTGAAGCTCCAATCCTAAAACTCAAGAAGCAAATTCTAAATATCCAAAAAGGTCTTGTCTGAATGAACCTGCATAACTGAGCACACACAATGGCCGAGGCAGGTCAGAGGTTTGTCCCCGGTCATTTTAACCACAGTAGGTTACAGGATCAGCTGCTATAAAAAGCCGTCTGTGCTCTGAATGCGCCAAGATCCATTCACACTTGACTTTCCACTACAGACTGATATAGGCTAACGTCCTTATCCTCTTAAACACCCACAAACTACTTACTAAAGACATCAATAGGATAAATAATGTATCCGAAGCCTCTGAAAATTGCTTCTTTAGTTATTTGCACTGGAGCTGTCTAGCTAATGTAGCTAACACATAATGGAAGCTTATGAACATTACCAATTAGCATGGTGCTAACTGCACACCATCGTCACACTCTCAAAACTTGTGTGGTTTTTGATGCTGTACGGCATACTGTTATCTACAAACATGAACCAAATTATGTTTAATATCTGTACAGCATAAGATACCTTAAGAAACTTTGGCCATAAATTTGGATCTAGCATTAGTCTACAGACTCATTACCAAACATATGAGAGTCAGTGCTCATACATGATATTTTGTTTGTGATGAAATGGCTTTTACGCACAGTTCTAGCAACTCCTGGATCAGTCAAAAGGAGACAGGAATCCCCAGGTACGTCACAGAGGGGCAGAGGCTTACAGCAGGATAATTAGCATTAACATTTAAAACGTCCAAGTTGGCTCTGAGTCATCAGTGCCACTGGTCGGGCAACCCTGCCTTCTTCTGACCTCCTCCTGCTTTAAATACGGCAGCATTAAGTCTCTGTAATACTCCCTCACACATGTGAACCCAGACAGTAGAGTCAGAGATTGCAGCATGGCTGGAAGCTCGGAGCAGGTTCATGTCCGGTGAAGGTACACTTATTACATTCATTTATCTATTTATTTATGAGATAGTCCTTGGGACTCTGAACATTTGGTGTGGTTAAAAGAACCGAGGAAGTTTCTATCCAGCCAGGATACATTCATAGTAACTGTTTATCTGTTTGTTTATTGGACAGTGGAGTGGGCAGTTTGCTGCCTGTCCCAGAAACCCAGCTACTGCTCATGGGACTCCTTGAAGTGTGCATTGTTGACGGAGGAGTTTAAGAGGTTAGTTTCTTGGAAATTAGCCTGAGAGTTAGTTTTGGATTTCCACATGAGGAATGACCGGAATTCCTGACTTTAGCAGGCTTTCAGGATGTTCCGGAGGCAAAGCCTTTTTCCCAGCTGCAAGATTCCATCAGAACCGGAATCCAAGGACAGCCTTTTCCCCTTTGCCCAGGACAATGCGGTCAGGCAGTGGAACTCTCTAGGTGATATTTATGACCTTTACGCTGACGATGAAGAGGAAGAAAAGCCACCAGATCCTCAGCCTCACATTCCTTCACCCATGAGACACCGTGCCCTCAACATCAATGTTGGAGGCAAGTCGTACCAGATTACCTACAAGATGGCAGCGAGGTTCCCCAAGAGTCGGATCGGCCAGCTAGCCGCCTGCACAGATCCAGGCGGCAAGCTGGACTTGTGTGATGACTATGTGGTGAAAGATGACGAGTATTTCTTTGACCGGGACCCGGATGTGTTCAATAGCATCTTCAACTTCTACAGGACAGGTGTCTTGTGGATCAGGGATGAACTGTGCCCAAGGAACTTTTTGGAAGAGATTGGATACTGGGGGGTTAGGGTCAAAATGGCACACCGCTGCTGCCGGATCGCCTTCGAAGAGCGAAACGATGAGATGGAGGAACAACTCAAGGTCCAGCGGGAGCTGGAGGCTGAGCTGGAGATTGAGGAACATGAAGAGGCCTTTGAAGGAATGATTTTGGGCAAAGCAAGAAAAAAAATCTGGAACTTGATGGAGAATCCTGTCTCTTCAATCCCAGCGAAGCTAATGGCTGTGTTTTCTAGCATATGTGTGCTAGCATCCCTGGTGTCCATGACTCTGGACACAGTGGAGGATATGGAGTATCTTTCTCCCAATGGCGAGTTGAGTGGAAAGACTCACTTGGTACATGTAGAGACTGTGTGCATATCCTTTTTCACTGTGGAATACCTGTTGCGCCTGATCTCAACGCCTCAATTAGCTAGTTTTGCTAAAAGTGCAATGAACACTGTGGACCTCCTAGCCATCCTGCCCCAGTACCTGCAGTTAGCACTGGAATGGATCGCAAGTGACAACTATGGCAAGCACGCTGCAGACATGAACATGGTGGGGCGCATAGGCCAGGTGCTGCGAGTAATGAGGCTACTCAGGATCTTTCGCATCCTGAAGCTAGCGCGCCACTCTACAGGCCTCAGGGCCTTTGGCTTCACCCTGCGGCAATGCTACCAGCAGGTTGGGTGCCTACTGCTCTTCATCGCCCTGGGCATCTTCATCTTCTCCGCTATGGTGTACTCTGCAGAGCATGATTTGCCGAACACCAACTTCACGAGCATCCCTCACGCCTGGTGGTGGGCCACAGTAAGTACATTACAGCTATTACTGTTTAAGATTTAAATAAGGCTTACCTGAAATAAAGCCAATCGTTCAAGACATATTTAGTTTGCTTCTTTATTTTTTAGCCCTGCATCTATAAGGTTAATTTAGCTAACAAGTAATGAAAGCTTATGCCCTACCCATTAGCATGGTCCAAACCGAATGCCAATGGACAACAACACAGACAAAATTCAGGCTTCAAGATTTGTATAGAATGTCATACAGTTTCAGAAACCACAAAATCAAGTCTATTAGAGCTTGCGTAACAATTCCTCATGGTATGAGACATGTATGTCATGATGGCATGCAGTTAGCACCATGCTAACTTTTTGGATATAAGACTCTATTACTTGTTATTGTTTTTAGCCTCATAGCCCCACTGCTAAAACTGACACATGTCTTAGCTGATCAACTACAACCCCAATTCCAAAAAAGTTGGGATGCTGAATAAAATGTAAATAAATACATTTTAATACAATGATTTGGAAATCTGGACTGCAGGCCAGTTCAGGCCAGTTCAGCACCCGTACTCTTCTTCTGAGAAGCCATGCTGTTGTGGTGGATGCTAGTGTGGTTTAGCATTGCCTTGCTGAAATATGCAAGGCCTTTCCTGAAAAAGACATCGTCTGGATGGCAGCATATGTGGCCAAAACATGTATATTTCATTCAGCATTAGTGATGCCTTCACAGATGTGCAAGACACCCATGCCATGTGCACTAATGCTCCTCCATACCATCATAGATGCTGGCTTTTGAATTGTGTGCTAATAACAAGCTGGGAGCTCTTTAGCCTGGAGGATGCCAAAGGTGTCCATTTTTTCCAAAAAGAATTTCAAATTTTGATTCATTGGACCACAGGACACTTTTCCACTTCGCCTCAGTCCATTTTAAATGAGCTTGGGCCCAGAGAAGTTGGCGGCGTTTCCGGATCCTTTTTATATGTGTTTTTTTCATTGCATGGTACAGCTTTAACTTGCATTTGTGGATTGCACAACGAACTGTGTTTACAGACAGTGATTTCTGGAAGTGTTCCTGAGCCCATGCAGTGATTTCCAGTACAGAATCAGTTTTTAATGCAGTGCCGTCTGAGGGCCTGAAGAGCGTCCAATATTGACTGTTGGCCTTGACCCTTGCGTACAGGGATTTCTCCAGATTATCTGAATCTTTTGATGATATTATGTACTGTAGATGGTGGGATATCGAAAGTCTTTGCAATTTTTACGTTGAGGAACATTTTTCTGAAATTGTTGCATAATTTTTAGACAGTTTTTTGCAGATTGGTGAACCTCTGCCCATCTTTTCTTCTGAGAGACTCTGCCTCTCTAAAATGCTCTTTTTATACCCAGTCATGTGAGTTAGTTGCAGATTGCTCCTCCAGCTGTTTTTTAGTACCACTTTTTTCTTAGCCTTTCGTTGCCCCTGTCCCAACGTTTTTGAGATATGTTGCTGCCATCAAGTTCTAAATGAGTTAATGTTTTTCATGAAATGGTAAAATGTCAACATCTGATGTGTGTTTTATGTTCTATTGTGAATAAAATATGGGTCTATGAGATTTGCAAATCATTGCATTCTGTTTTTATTTCCATTTATTTACATTTTACACAGCATCCCAACTTTTTTTAGAATTGGGGTTGTACATTTGGAGTAAAGCGTTCTGGACATTTTGCAGGGCTATTCTGTTTTTTAGTCGTTCACAGGACATTAGCAGGTAAAGTATTAATGCAAGAGTAAACTTGTGATGGAAACTCTTGTCAGCTGGAACATGCAGGTGCTCCAGAAAGCCTTGATTACCTGGATCAAGTGTATTAGATTAGGGCTGGAAAATAAACTCAGTCTGCAGGGTTTCCAAAAGTACACTTGGGCACAACTCCCTTAATACCTGTTCTGTAAGTGTACTACTCTCAAACAGCATTACACAAACACACTACACACTTAAAAATGATGGTTCTTCAAGGGTTCTTCAGAAAAGAAACTGAAACAGAAAAGAGTACTGCATAATTAGATTGATGGAGAATGTGTTGAATATGGTTCTATATAGAATTTTTAAAAAAGAGTTCTATATAGCACCAAGAAGGGTTCTACTATTGTTACAATGTCACTGTGCAGCTTGTAATAATAGACCAACCCTTTTTGGTGCTATATAGAACCCTTTTCAAAAATGTTCTATATAGAAGCATGTTCAATACATTTCCATCAATCTGAAGAACCTTTTCACAATGCAAATGGTTTGTTGAGTGTTTAACAGCCATTAAGTACAAGTTTTTCATATTCAGGAAATATTTGTGAGGGGGTTAGATTTAAATAATCTACTTGTATAAGTGAGTCCAAAGTCCAAAGTTTCCAAAACTAGAATGCAAAAACTGATTAAAAGCTACAGAGAAAATGTGCCTCCTGGAAGAGCTGGTAGACACCAAAACTGCCCCCATCAGATAAACAGCACTTTCATCTATGAGAGAGAGGAGAAAATCAAGCTGCTTCAGATCTGAAAACATCCACAGGTGTTTCTGTCCATCCTTCCACTGTGAGAAGACGACTCAGCGCTATGGGTCTGAAAGGATGTGTAGCTGTCAAGAAGAACCTCACTGAGAAAAGTAAAATAGACATGAAAGAAGAACATTTACACTAGAAGACCAACATCTGAGCTGTAGTGAGGTTTTTATGGGCCTACATTTGTAATTGGATTACTGAGATGGTAAGAAGCAGGAAATGATCGACCAACTTCTAAGACTGAACTTTGGAGGCGTGTTTGCAGATTCTTTGAGGAACTGAAAGTGAGTCTCCTGAAAAGAATGGAAGCTGGAATGAAGGGAAAGAGACACTCACTGAACACTCACACAGCTGAGATTAGATTTAGTTGTTGAGTCACCCATTCTGTGTGATTTTTTGTTAAATATATGTTTCTAATTTGTACTTAATGTCATATTGACTGTAAGTTAAATAAATAAATGGTGGTTTCTGACTTTTCCACATTGCTATCTGATTGTTCCAGTGTAAGAGTTGTCTGTGTTTCCCTGAAGTGCTCAGATCAGGTCAGTCCAGGTGAAGGCCATGGCCCTTAATTGATTTAAATCCACTTTGGCCAGTCTAGATGAAGAGGAGGAGACTTAAGAGGAAGATAAGGTTAAAGAAGGATTGAGACAACTGAGAACACTGTGCCTGGAAGAATGAGCTCAAAAGACACCTTTAAGTGAACGGTACAAGGGTCTGAGTGTGTGAAGACTACAGTAATGCTGTGCTTTTAAAGATCAACGTTGTCCTGCTGCCGTTCACAGCTTTCACATATCACGGTTATTGGTGCCACAGTGAGGTCAGGATGAGGCGAAGCGTCTGATTGTGTAATGAATTAAAGTGGCCAGTGAGTGGAAGTACAAGGTGGGTGTTTCTAATAAAGTGGCCAGTGAGTGGAAGTACAAGCTGGGTGTTTCTAATAAAGTGTCCAGTTAGTGGAAGCAAAGGTAGGTGTATGTAATAAAGTGCACGTAAAAGCAGTAAATGTTCTGTGTTCCTGCAGGTCAGTATTTCTACAGTGGGTTATGGGGACATGTACCCTGAGACTCTGCTGGGTCGAATATTTGCCTTTGGCTGCATCTCCTTTGGCATCATCCTCAACGGGCTGCCCATCTCCATCCTCTTCAATAAGTTTTCTGACTACTACGCCAAGCTGAAGGCCCACGAGGACTCGGTTGAGCTGGGCTTCAGGAGGAAACTCCGGCTCAGGCAGAGAGCTCAGAGGAGACTGGCTGAGTGCTGCTGTGTGGACGGATCATAACCTGTGAGAAACCCAGCAAAGACAACACTGTAAAAAATCTTACTAGATATGTACCAGGAGTAAATAACATCTCCCACAAATGTGTTTTTCATAGCTACTGTTGTAAGAAGATATGGTAAAAATCCCATTCAGCCTAATGAGAAACTGTAGAACAGACTCAGTTTATATCACAATACCTACATTTAGAGTCAGTTATTCATTCAGCCTAATGAGAAACTGTAGAACAGACTCAGTTTATATCACAATACCTACATTTAGAGTCAATTATTCATTCAACCTAATGAGAAACTGTAGAACAGACTCAGTTTATATCACAATACCTACATTTAGAGTCAATTATTCATTCAGCCTAATGAGAAACCGTATGGATTTTTAGCAACAGCCTGTAAAATATGCCTGATCCTACCACAGTAGCTGTGAAGGAGCACATTAACTTTTACATGTACTCAGAAAACAAAAGTAAAAAGTAACACAAGTCAGCCTGTGTGGGTGAAGCATAGATTGGTCAGTTATTCCTGGTTTCTGTTTTAACAAAATAATATTGCTGTTTAAGGAACTTCTGCTCTCTCATTTTTAACTCAGCTTATTGTCAATATATCTCTTTTTTAGTTCTGTTAATGACGCACTGTTAGCTGAAGTATATCTAACCAAACCAAAGCTCTTGCTAATAGAAACTGTGGGTTCTTAACAGTTAAAAAGAACAACCTACAAATCCGTACAAACTGCCTTAATTTTTCAAGCACCTTATTTTTAAAGCCATTGAAATGCTCACTGGCTGGACACTGGTATGTCCTTCCTAGAGAGATATGAGGGTCATACTATAACAGATCCATTGTCCTAAATAACACTGAAAGCCTCTGAATGAAACATTGGTGAAAAATCAGACCTAAACTCCTTTAAAGATTCCCTCTTTACCCCAAATGTAGATACATTCAGTGTCTGAAAAGATCTGCTTTGGTTTCAACACTGGAGCTACACGCTAATGTAGCTAACAAGTAAACAAAGCTCATTAGCATCATCTTTATGTACTAATTATCAGGTACTTACCACACTTAGCTTCATGTATCGAACAGCACACGCTTCAGTCATCTCTAACAGACCTTATTATGTGGTTTCTGATGTACTTTTATCTAGAAACATGAAGAAAAATCAGAGTTTATAACGGCTGCCACTGTTGTTAGCTATGCTAACGTACTTTAGTCCATGTTTGTAGATAACAGTGTCAGAAAACACATAGTCAGGTCTAACTACTCCACACTGTTTGGGTTTCAGATTACATCCAGTTAGCATCATGCTAATTGTTTTTACTAAGCTTCCTTTACTTGGTTGCTATTAGCCTGCAGGCTAAAACTAATGAAATAAGCCATTTCTTGGCTAATTAACCAGCTACCGTTCCCCCCACTATCACATTAACACACTCAAGTGCCAAAAGACAAGGCCTCGTCTTCAAATCTCACAGCACTGTCACTATTTTCTGTGAAAAACTGCTGTTGTACGAGTTGTGAAGTACTGAAGATGCCGAAAGCACACTGATGTGGTAAAGGAAGAGCTGACTGACTGTTTACGCCATTTACTTTTCTATTACTGCTTAAAACTGCATATCGTATGTACAGTATGTTGTAGACTGTTTGTCTTAAATTGTACAAATCCGAAACAATAAAGGTCTTTCTTTTAAACTGGCCGAACTTCCTCTCATTTTCAGTACCAAATCACATAAAAGTAAGCCAACACAACATACAGACATGTATTCACTGCATAAATATTTACACATTTACATGTATTTAAGTACATTTTGATGGATCTGTACTTTCTTGGCTATTTTCAAGTGGTAATATATCCACTCAAGTACATTAGTGAAGTAATCTGCCTTTCCTCAGTTCCATTAGTAATTTCTTAAAGAGGTGATGGATCCAAAATGAAAAATGTATCTATTGCTATATCTGCCCACAGCGGCCTCTAGAGTGAAATTTTCTGGATTAAAGATTAGAAAACTTCCCTTCTGATGATGTATCTTGAAGGTGGGAGGAGCTATCGAAAAACTACAAGGCTTTTGGGTGGATTCTTGTGGACGAGCTGTATGAAATGTGTCTTTTCCATTAACTGGCTAATGCAGAAAGAAACCAGACAGACGACGTAACTGGAATCTACATTTATTAGCCTCCACATCAGCGGCTATGCTAGCAATATTTTGTTAGAGGATTCACAATGATTGTTTGATGTTTTTTGCAAAATGTATGCTGGGAAATGTAGTCAGAGAATATCTCTGTACAAAAACACAGACATTCTGTCAAATGATGAGGCTGCGGTGCCAGAACTGTACATAATATGAGGTTTGTAAGTCAGAAAGCTACGGAGGTACAGAGAGGTACCGAGCCCCACTGGTGACATCCTGCATAAATAAAAATAATGCATGGCCACGACTTAGTAAGACATGGGAACACGATAATTAAGTCATTGCCACACCATCCTAATGCACGGGCACAGCTTAGTAAGGCATGATCTCGTTCCCACGCCTTATTAAGTCGTGGCCACGAGTTAATTATCTCATTCCCATCTTTAGATAACGAGTTATCTTGTTTTAACTTTGTTACCTTGAGATCTTAACCTTGTTATCTTGAGGTCACAAGACAATTAACTCGTTATCTTAAGATAACAAAGTTGCTATCTTGAGATCACAAGGTAATTAACTCACGTTCTCAAGCTAACGTCTTTGTTGTCTTGAGATCACATGATAATTAACTCATTATCTCAAGATTACGGCTTTGTTATCTTTTGGTCACAAGATAATTACTCATTATCTCAAGAGAACAATTTTGTTATCTTGAGATCATAAGATAATTAACTCGTTATCTCAAGATAAGTAATAACTACCTCATGGCCCCTCTGGACTTGGTAAGCCCCCTTAGTTGCTAATTTTGTTCTTCTATTCTAGTCGGTTGTTGTGCCTTCACTAGTGTTGTTACCCTCCATACCGAAGCTTGGGGGCTTGTGTGAAACCAGCACATTTTTACGTCATAACGTTTATCAGTGGGTTATGCATGAGTTTGTCAGGAGATCTGCTATAAACACCAGCCTCTAAGGTGACGTAACTTTTCATCATGTTTATCTGCAGTGTCGTGTTTATGTTACTCATTACCTTTACTGCTTTACAAGCGAGTGACATGCTTTTAAATGACGAATAGAATTTGGACTTTCATTCTAAAACCACACCCAGGAGACTCATAGCTGCTGTTCATGCTTTTGACCACCAGGTGTCACTAATGTGCACCGGTTTTAAAATGAGTTTAAATTAAAGCCTCGCTACTTCAGAAAGCCTCACTTTTTCCCTTTACTGCAGTCATAACTTCACTTCAGCAACAGCGCTTATACTGGATAACATGTTTACTGCACCGTTATAATGGTTTACTACATAGATTATGGGAAAAAAATGAATAAAATGATGACCAGCCACTTCTTCATTAAGTCCACCTCCTTGTATCTTGTCTCTAATAGAGTGGACAGTGAGTGGACACAGTGTTTAAAACTCCAGCAGCACCGCTGTGTCTGATCCACTCGCACAACACACACACCACCACATCAGTGTCACTGCAGTGCTGAGAATGATCCACCACCCAAATGGTACCTGCTCTGCGAGGGTCCATGGGGGTCCTGACCACTGAAGAACAGGGTAACAAAGTATGCAGAGAAACAGATGGACTACAGTCTGTAACTGTAGAACTACAGAGTGAAACTGTGTGGTCAGTGGAGCTGATGAGATGGACTGTGAGTGTAGATAGAAGAGGTGACCGGGCTGTGTGCACCCCTGTCCTGCAGGGGGCGCGGTGTGTTTTGCTGCTGTGTGTTGAAGCCCTTAACGGCTCCGTCTCTCCTGCTGCTGCTGCTGTTTGACCTTCTGCAGGCTGCGCAGTTAAAGCGGATAAAATGGTGCCTCCGGTGCAGGTTTCTCCTCTAATTAAGGTATTTTACACAGATTATAACTCCACATTTAGTCTGGCGACGCTAAAGAGCCGCTTTCTTCTGATAAAGTTCCTTTTTCCGTTGTTGTCAGTCAGAGGTGAGCTAAATGCTAACGGCTAAAGGCAGAACCAAAGCGCGTAATAACAACAGAGAACCGAATAAAAACCGAAAATAAAAGAGGAGTCGAACATTTTCAGCCTTTAATGAATACTCACGATATTATTCTGAAAAACTGAAGCTTCTTATTTCCCAGTCTCCGGTCCACCTTAAATAGTCCCGCAGTTACGTTCTGGCGCCTCGAGCGTTGTGATAATAACTGCAGTATTTAAGGTGGAACGGAAAATTCGATCAAGAAGCTGGAGAATAAGAAGCCACCTTCAGCCGCGTGTGTGGTTTATTAAGGTAATATTAAATGACTGAGCTGTGTGTGATCTGCACTGTTCTTGTTTCACAGACAGCCAGATACTCTGCGCTGATTGTAGGAATCCTCTATGGCAAGAAGAGATACGGTGAGTTTCTGATGAGTAAACTGAGCCGGATTTGAGCTTTGACGGTCAGAGTTTGTCCCTTCAGTCTGTGCCTTGTGAACGTCCTTTGGCTCATTATGTTGGCAGTTAATGAGTTAAATAGGTGAGACAGTCTGGGTCATTGAGCTTCGTACAGTACAGCACCCAATGCTGAGTTGGTGGTAAGGCAGGACTGAGGGTTGGTTAGAGTTTACAGGATCTAATTGAGCTGAAAGCCTTTTAGTTTTATAAAGCTGCAGGTTAAAGGCTCAGGAAGGTTACCGGCCTCTGAAGGACAAAGGTGAAATCTGGAGAGCTCAACGTGTCTCAGTACGCGGCAGCTGGACCTCCAAAAAAAGATTTAGAACTAGTTTGTAAATATTTCTCCATAACTCAGTGTGTGTGGTGTAAGCAGAGAGATTCAGAGTGGTTTGGAGTGAAATGGTTCACATGTCTTTACAGTGGTGGTGATAGGAACCAGGGGTCGCCATGACTACAACACAAATATAGACATTTTATTTACTATCCAAAACCACCAGTGAACCTACACGAGTCTTCTGAGTTTATATGGAATGTTGATGATGGAAAACAGTGGAAAATCTGAAATAATCAGTTTTCTTTGGGGACTATTTTGCCTCACAGCGCCCTGCATGTATCCCTCCACCATGAATGGGTTTCAGCGTCAAAACTATCGTAAAACAGTGTCTCAGTCATCAGGCAGTGAATTCACAACCATTTCATGTAGTAACTTTCTGTGAGGGAGCTTTTAGAGGTGGACGTCTGGTTCCTATCACCACCACTGTGAACAATTCTGACTCAGTAAGTTTCTCTAGAACAGAGCGTTTCACACCAAACCACTCTGAACGACTCTGTTTACATCTCAACTGTTTTGGATTTGAAAACCCTTTAAACAGTAGTTCAGTGTCACCTGGATGTGCCATAATTAAGCCTTCATGTGTTGAAGGCAGTTGATCAAATTCAGCGGATCCAATTAAGTCCTTTTTTTCCCTCAGATTACCTGAAGCCCATCGCAGAGGAGGAGAGGCGGATTGAGGAGGAAGAGAAGAAAGTGAGGGAGGAAAAAGAACGGATCGCAAAGCAGCTTGCAGAGGGTAAGAGATCACCCTGCCAAACCACAAACTCGTGTTCTTGCCATCTGAGATTTTCTTCTTTAGTTTTAGTCCCGGAGTTACGAGGCTAATGGCGCTAAAAAGTAATGAAAGCTTATACCCCACCAATTAGCATGGTGCTAACTGCGTCCCCTAATCAGTGCACACTCCTCAAGCTGTGTGGAGGTGTTCAGTATCTCTAATAGACTTGATTATGTGGTTTCTGACCTTGTGTGACACTGTTACCTGTAAACATGGACAAAAGCCCATTAGCATGGCTAAACACAGTAGCAGCCATCCTGGAGCCTGAATTCTGTCGGTACCTTTTCTGTTTTTTTTATAGGTAACAGCGTCACACAGTGTGCTGCTTGTTTTAATTGGTGGGGTTATATCTACATTAGAGTCGTAACTCCAGTATAAAACTAACGAAACAAACTTCAGACAACAAACATGCCTTGGTTGATCTGTGGAAAGCAGAAAATTGTGTACGTCTGATGTTTGTCCGAACTGTTGCTTTAAGTCTCTAACCTCATATGTGCATGTACTTTAATCCAAGCCAGTATCTGATCTAATAACATGGTAAAGAACAGCTGAGAGTTGGGCAGTATCCATCTTTTTCATACCTTCACCTGTCTCCACAAATTACCATGTATATGGTAATAGAAGCGTTTTAAGAAATATTGGGTGAAAACACTGTAACCTGTGTAAAAGCATCTACATCATTTTCATCCCGTTTCAAATTCAGTCTACTAAAAAGTCCTGTTTTTCGTGTATTTTTAGTAATGTTTAGTAAATGAATGTAGTGCACGATTTTTAATCCAGCATTCAATAAATACCAAAACATCCACCTAATAATGCTGAATAAAATCTGACAGGGCAGGTTACCGTGTAGTGACACTGACAGCGGTCATTCGATCATAAAATCTAAAACAATACGTTGCAGTCAGTTAATCAGCTAATTCTGCTTAAATGAATTTTTCAGTGAAGTATTTGGAACATTGTTTCAACATTATCTTTCTTTTTTAGTCTGGATAAACTTTCCATACTGCGCTGTTCCAACACTGCGCAGTGCTCTTATTAGCCTGTTTAACACTTTTTGCACAGAGAACATATTTTCAGACAAATCGAGTGTTCTTTGGGACGCGCTTTGCTGAATCGATTATGTCCCGTTTCCTCTGAGCGTGGGCCTCAATCGAAGGGCACTGATAGTGGTGAAGAATAAATTAAGGGGTGAAACTGAAGCGGGGAGAAATGCAGATTTAAAAAATGTGTGAACAGTGGGCGGAGGGGCTGACAGAACCCTGGTATGACATCTGAATCCGACCCCAGCACATTTGAGAAAGTATACCTTATTACCATCAAACCACCAGCCTGTCTACACTTCTCCTCAGTTTAACTCTCGTTTCTCTGTTTGTTTCTCCAACAGCAAGTGAAGACACGATCCTGAAGTGAGCTGTTTGTGGTGTGAAGTCTGTTATGGACCCGTTCTGGAGGTCTTTCTCTCTCTGCTCTGCCAATTTCTTTATCCTCTGCCTTCCACTCGCCACGTTCCCTCCCACCAGCCGCGCTGGACAAACGCCTCCTGATTAGAGCGCATTAAGAATTGTGTAAACACGTATGAACATGTATAAATGTGATTTATGCCTTGAGTCGTCTGAGTGATGGGAAACTGTACTGGTTCCCGATCCCACCTCTGAGGAACCCTTCGCTCTAGAACACTCTATTACCATCACAAAGAATACAAATAACAGAAAATGGTCCCATTGACTTGGATTGAGAACCTCTTTGGAACATTCTATAAAAAAGGCTCTTAATGTTGTTAATTTTCTTTCAGTTCACTTTCTGTTGACTCGGCTATCATGAGGTGTGAAGTGTTGGCTCAGAACATGGTTTATTATGAGTATTTATAAATAAATCTAGTTCACCCACTGAGTCTCATCAGATGTGTGTTTATTAAAGCTGTACTGACGCCCTCACTGTTATTGCCTGCAGTTTGGTGGTATAAAGTGCAGTTTTAGGCAGATTCACAAAGAGGAGAGAGAAAACAGAGAAATGTGAGGTAACAGTCAAAAAGTGACTGTGGGAAAAAAATCATCTGCATATTTTTCACTTAATTTCTCAAACTAAAATTAAATTCCAGCATGATTTTGAGATGATAGTTTCCCACAATGCAGGACACTAAGTTAAAAGGACACTTAAGTCATTGTGAGAAATGTAACCATCACTACCTCTGTTGAAAACATGTTTACAGACCTTTGCTGCGCTGCTGTATGTGGAGAGTAAAGAGTTTCTAGTTGAGAGTTTAGGAAAACCCTCTTCTGATGATGTATCTTGAAGCTGGGAGGAACATGTGGAAAAACTACCAGGACAGTATGGAATGTATTTGTTTGCTTTTTTCTAGCTGGCTAATGCAGAAGGAAGCCAGATCGCTAACGTTGGTGCTACAAAGCCAAATAATCCTGTCTGTACGTATGAAGTTATAAACTGGTGCATTTTCTTCAAAATGCATTTCAAGTTTCTTCATATGAAGCAACATAACTAGTCAACATTAGTGGTTAACTAACGTTAGCTACTTTATACATTTGTTGACTAGTATTGTTACTCCAGCGGAGAAAAGTAGCCTGAAAATGTTTCCTTATGAACAAACAGAAGAACAAATACTGCAAATTCTTAACAGAGTTGTTAAGTTAAGGCAGTAGACCCATTCACAGTTATAACTCCATGAAACTAATGCTGATTCAGTTGATCCAGTGTGCTGGTCAGATGTGTCCGTCAGCAGAGCTCTGTGTATTTCTCAGTGAGGGAATATTCACCGGCTCTGTCCCAATAATCCACCGCCCTCACCCTGTAGAACCCGCACACCTCCCCGCTCTCTGAGGAACAACACCACAGAACATTTCACAAACAGTTTAACATCCAGAATCAAGTTCTAATATCATTACTATCCTCGTGGCCAGATTTCAAAAGCAGATATGTTTGTAAATAATTCCTACATTATATGTTTGGAACACCAAGGATATTGTGGATATCGTCAGTATTTAAAAATACTTTCAAACTGCTTTGTTTTACTACAAAGAGAGCATAATTAGTCCTGTTTAATCTGATTTAGCAAAATGTTGAAGTGCATTATAGTAATTATTGCATATAATTTTTAAATCAATATCATGAAAACTTTCAAAGTATCGCAATATTACATTTTTGCCACATTGCCCACCTCTATACTGTTCAATAATAATTAATAATCGTTTATACAGTGTAGATTAAAATAAGCCAGACACCAGAAGGTACCAGAAGAAATCAGTTTTTTTCGGAGGGGGGAACTTATTAAATGAAAAATAATACCGTAAAAAGAACATTCAAAGAACCCTTTGCATGATTAAAGGGTTCTTTGCATCATGAAAAGTTCTTCTGATTGATGGAGAATGTGCTGTAGATTGTTCTATAAAGAACCTTTTTGAAAAGGATTGTATATAGCATTAAAAAGGGTTCCTCTATTGTTTTGATGTCAAGCTTATAATAATAAAAGAACTCTTTTCAGTGTTATATAGAACCCTAAATAGAAAGGTTCTATGTAGAACCATCTACTGCACATTCTCCATCAATCTGAAGAACTTTCCATGATGCAAAGAAACCTTGAATCATGCAGAGGGTTCTCTGACTGTTCATAATTCTATACAGAACCATTTCCTTTACTAAAGAAGCCTTGAAGAAACTTTTTTAAGAGTGCACATCTAATATGTTGATTTTTTACAGCTCCTTATTAATTTCTATGGAGTTTTAGAGTAGCAGCATCTTATTAGAACCACAATGAGTTTAATACATCGGAACGGACCACTAGAAATGCTCCAAAAGTGCTTGGAAAAAAATCTAGTTCCATTCAAAATTAAGCCTTTTCTTTCTCTTGTAAACATTTGGAGATGCGAGGGTTTGTTCTGACAGCAGCGATATATATATATATATATATATATATATATATATATAATTCGCAGGTTCAGCTTTCTGGGAGTTTACCTGGTGAGAAAGTGTGCGATGTGAAAATGGTGTCTCTGAAGTTGATCCTGTGGAACGTCGTCCCGTCTTTGGAAAACTCCACTTCATACGTCTTTATACACCTGAGAACATAATAAATGAATAAAAAGGGTTTAGATTGGTACCAGCAGGTCTGAGGAGCAGAACTATAAAGGATCTCATGATCTTCAGGACGTTTCTGACTTTGTGCCGACGCACTGATCCCTCCAGACGATGAGGACCTGGCCTGTGGTGATGGAGACGAAGCGCAGGCCGTTCACCTGCAGACACACAGAAACACTTCATCCACTCACACATCCAGTCTAAACATGCTTAAAGAGTGACGGTTTGGTGGGAAATCAGTTTTACAGTGTCCGTTTCCCCTCTTACCCCAAATGTAGTCGATCAGCCGAGAGGTTTAGTGTCTGAGGTTCTTCTTTAGGTTTAGCACCAGAGCTACAAGGCTAATATAGCTAGCAAGTAATGGAAGCTTAAACCACAACATTTAGCACTGCTTGCCTGTGTTTCTAGCCTGCTGGTTGTTCTGGAGCACAGAACATGCGAACGTTTGGGCATTTTAATGCACAGTTACTCTTTATTTGCCGAATTAAAAAAAGAGAACATAAAATAAGGCCTGTGCAAAAGTTCTAGCACATTTTTTTTCTGTTCCAATATGTGAAATGCAAATAAATAGAAATTGTGCACTAAAATTAGCAGAAAAATGGCACATTGAAGTTTGTTCCCTGGGTGTGCTCACCTGGTCAGGTGCGAGTGTGGAGCGGGCACACACGTGGATGAGCAGGACGGATGGAATGGGCAGTTTTACTGTCAGAGTTAAAGCACCCTGAGCTGGAAACGGGAAAGGCCCCTCCCTCTCAGCGTCCTGAACACAAAACCACTACGTTAAATAAAACCTTCTCAAACATGCTTTTCTCCTTTCACTTTTACAATTTCACAACTTACAATTAAGAAAAAACTAAAATAGATTAAAAAAAGCATCTTTACAACGATCTTTTCTCTCAGAACATTTCTAAGAACTAATCTTGAAAATGATATTCTAAAATATCTGATTCATCTTATGATACTCTGACACTTAAGTGTTATACTGAAAAAAAGGCTTTAAAAAGTAATCGCAGTCTGTGTGTGTGTGTGTGTTTGTGTGTTTGTATGTGTGTGTGTGTGTGTGTGTGTGTTTGTGTGTTTGTATGTGTGTGTGTGTGTGTGTGTGTGTGTGTGTGTGTGTGTGTGTGTGTGTTTGTGTGTGTGTGTGTGTGTGTGTTTGTGTGTGTGTTTGTGTGTGTGTGTGTGTGTGTGTGTGTGTGTGTGTGTTACCTCTTGGCTCCTGAGCTGTGTAAACTGCTGGACTGTAGGGAAATCTGGGCTGCCCATCTGTCTCCACAGCTCATACGGGTTGGTCACCTTATTGTCCATGTAGTGAGTTACATACATCAAACCTGGAGTATAACATCAACAACATTTCATCTACGGCCTTACAGTGGAAACCACCATCAAAAAACACCACCATTATCAAACCTACAGCACAAAACCCAACACCATCGTCTGTATGGCAACTGACTGGTGTGTACTGATGGTATATGACTGTGTAGTGACTGACTGGTGTGTACTGACGGTATATGACTGTGTAGTGACTGACTGGGACAGTATATGACTGTGTAGTGACTGACTGGTGTGTATTGACGGTATATGACTGTGTAGTGACTGGCTGGTGTGTACTGACGGTATATGACTGTGTAGTGACTGACTGGGACAGTATATGACTGTGTAGTGACTGACTGGTGTTTGTTGACTGTGTGTGTGTGACTGTTTAGTGACTGACTGTGTGTGTTGACCACATGTGACTGTGTTGACTGACAGGTGTGTGTTGACTGCGTGTGTGACTGTGTGGTGACTGACTGGTGTGTTGACTGCATGTGTGACTGTGTGGTGACTGACTGGTGTGTGTGACTGTGTGGTGACTGACTGGTGTGTGATGACTGTATGTGTGACTGTGAGATGACTGACTGGTGTGTGATGACTGCGTGTGTGACTGTGAGATGACTGGTGTGTGATGACTGTAGTGACTGACTGGTGTATGTTGACTGTGTGTGTGTGTGACTGTGAGGTGATAAATGGTGTGTGTTGACTGAGTGTGTGACTGTGTGGTGATGACTGGCGTGTGTTGACTGAGTGTGTGACTGTGTGGTGATGACTGGCGTGTGTTGACTGAGTGTGTGACTGTGTGGTGATGACTGGTGTGTGTTGACTGTGTGTGTGACTGTGTGGTGATGACTGGCGTGTGTTGACTGAGTGTGTGACTGTGTGGTGATGACTGGCGTGTGTTGACTGAGTGTGTGACTGTGTGGTGATGACTGGCGTGTGTTGACTGAGTGTGTGACTGTGTGGTGATGACTGGCGTGTGTTGACTGAGTGTGTGACTGTGTGGTGATGACTGGCGTGTGTTGACTGTGTATGTGACTGTGTGGTGACTGACTGGTGTGTGTTGACTGAGTGTGTGACTGTGTGGTGATGACTGGTGTGTGTTGACTGTGTATGTGACTGTGTGGTGACTGACTGGTGTGTGTTGACTGTGTATGTGACTGTGTGGTGACTGACTGGTGTGTGTTGACTGTGTGGTGACTGACTGGTGTGTGTTGACTGTGTGGTGACTGACTGGTGTGTGTTGACTGTGTATGTGACTGTGTTCTGACTGACTGGTGTGTGTTGACTGTGTATGTGACTGTGTGGTGACTGACTGGTGTGTGTTGACTGTGTGGTGACTGACTGGTGTGTGTTGACTGTGTGGTGATGACTGGTGTGTGTTGACTGTGTATGTGACTGTGTGGTGACTGACTGGTGTGTGTTGACTGTGTATGTGACTGTGTGGTGACTGACTGGTGTGTGTTGACTGTGTGGTGACTGACTGGTGTGTGTTGACTGTGTATGTGACTGTGTGGTGACTGACTGGTGTGTGTTGACTGTGTATGTGACTGTGTGGTGACTGACTGGTGTGTGTTGACTGTGTGGTGACTGACTGGTGTGTGTTGACTGTGTGGTGACTGACTGGTGTGTGTTGACTGTGTATGTGACTGTGTGGTGACTGACTGGTGTGTGTTGACTGTGTGGTGACTGACTGGTGTGTGTTGACTGTGTGGTGACTGACTGGTGTGTGACTGTAGTGACTGAGTGGTGTGTATTTAGTGTGTGTGACTGTGTCCTAACTGACCGGTTTGTGCTGGAGCTCCAGTGAGGCGCAGGGTGACGATGTCAGAGCTGTTGGAAGTCAAGTTGTCTCTGCTGTTGTACAGAAGCACTGCGCTTTGCCAGCTGTCTGCTGTGTGTGGAATCCTGGGCAGGTGGACGCTGGCCAGCACACCAACTGAACTGTCCACCTGGGAACCTCCAGACACCTGGGCCTCCACCTGCTGCTCACCTGCACTTCCACAACATTCTCTTAAATAAGCATAAACTGACCGTAATGTTTATAGGTAACAGTGAATTATACAGTGTCAGAAACAACACAGTGAAGTCTATTAGCGATTAATGAAGAACTCCACACAGTTTGAGGACGGTGTGTGATGATTTAGGCCTGCAGTTAGGACCATGCTAAATGCCTAATTAGCTTCTATTATTTATTAGCTACATTAGCTTTATAGCTCCAGTGCTAAAAGTAAACAGACTCCAAACATGTCTTGGCAGGGTGAAATATTTGGGCTATGTGGCCAGCAAAGAGCTTTCTGCCTATGATAGCATGCTAACTGGTTGCTAAAAGCTTTGATTTGTCCTTTGCCTAGTTAGCATTTTGTGTGATTCCTTCTATTAAAAATATTTAAAAAATGACAAAACACTCCACCTAACAGAGACAGCAGGCCCATGACTGTGAGGACGGGTTTCCGTAGAAGCTGGACGTAGGGTGGACGGGTGTTGTTGACCTGAAAACGGGCTGTGAGGGTGCGCTGAGTAAACTGGTGGGGGTAGTAACTAAGGAAGGCGTTGTCGTTGCTAAGCAACGAGTAATTAATACTGTTGTTTTTACTGGCAATGAGCAGGTCCTGATGCTGAGAGATTACCTACAGAAAAAAACAGGACATAATTAAACAAAGGAATATACGGAGGTTTAAATAAACAACAATCAGTGAATAATCAATTATTAAAAAATCAGTAACACCTAGATATCAAACACAGAAGCGCTTAGATTCTCCAATTTGTATTAATGCAAAGATCTTATTATGAAAGCCTCGCCTTCTGCACTCACAACCTCTAACAGAGCTGCAACAGGTGATTATTGTTATAATAATAAAACAACAGAAGCCATATCGCCCCCTACACTTCCTGTAGTGTATTACAGTCTGTCAGAATGACTGTGTGGATCATATGAACATTATAGAGCTTTTTAAATGAAACAGTAGAAGCCATATTGCCCCCTACACTTCCTGTAGTGTATTACAGTCTGTCAGAATGACTATGTGGATCATATAAACATTATACAGCACCAATTACTGACTTTTAACTGCAAACAAATAATGAGGATAAAAGAATGGATCAAATTCTTGGGTATAAGTCAGTGTTCTATAATCAAATACACATCTAAGGCTTAATTTTCCTTTAATGAGATTCCTTCAGTGGAAATCCATGTCTAGGCTTAACCTTAATGTATTTCTGGATCAGGTAAGTGTATATGTGCACCTTGACCACCATGGCTGCATAGGTGACGTCGGCCCTCCAGGCTAGGGGTCTGTTCCAGCCCACCAGCGGATCAGCCTCGTCGTTATAAATGGGGAGAGTGCGGAAAAGAGGAAATCGACGCTGGATCTCCTGCACTGTGGCCACCTCCTGCTGCAGGATCGGCAACGTGTTGTTTCCACCCTATAAAATAAATCAGCCTAAAATCAGATTTCAGAAAAGTGTCTCGTCTGGCCACCTCAGATTTGCTTCGTATGTTCAGTAATGATAAATAAATCACTGAAATCTGAGGCTTTTATCTTAATTTGTTTGTGAGATTTAGAGTTTTTAAAAAGTGGGCATTATCTTTGAACCATTAACGCTAGATGCATTAATATTTTCAAAGAATTATTATTTTGTTTACAGTGGGCTTCTACACGGATCAGGCATAACATTCTGACCACCTCCTTGTTTCTACACTCATTGTCCATTTTATCAGCTCCACTTACTATATAGGTGCACTTTGTAGTTCTACAGTTACAGACTGTAGTCCATCTGTTTCTCTGATACTTTGTTAGCCTCCTTTTACCCTGTTCTTCAGTGGTCAGGACCCCCATGGACCCTCACAGAGCAGGTACTATTTGGGTGATGGATCATTCTCAGCACTGCAGCAACACTGATGTGGTGGTGGTGTGTTAGTGTGTGTTGTGCTGGTGTGAGTGGATCAGACACAGCAGTGCTGCTGGAGTTTTTAAACACCTCAGTGTCACTGCTGGACTGAGAAAAGTCCACCAACCAAAAATATCCAGCCGACAGCGTCCTGTGGGCAGCGTCCTGTGACCACTGATGAAGGACTAGAGGATGACCAACACAAACTGTGCAGCAGCAGATGAGCTATCGTCTCTGACTCTACATCTACAAGGTGGACCGACAAGGTAGGAGTGTCTAATAGAGTGGACAGTGAGTGGACACAGGGTTTAAAAAGCCCAGCAGCACTGCTGTGTCTGATCCACTCACACCAGCACAACACACACTAACACACCACCACCACATCAGTGTTACTGCAGTGCTGAGAATGATCCACCACCCAAATAGTACCTGTTCTGTGAGGGTCCATGGGGGTACTGACCACTGAAGAACAGGGTAAAAGGGGGCTAATAAAGTATCAGAGAAACAGATGGACTACAGTCTGTAACTGTAGAACTACAAAGTGCACCTATATAGTAAGTGGAGCTGATAAAATGGACAATGAGTGTAGAAACGAGGAGGTGGTCAGAATGTTATGCCTGATCAGTTTATGTCTCCATATTGAAGCATGTTAGACTTTTCAAACGTTGGTATTTATTATTGATATTACAGCACTTTAGGTAACTACTGGAAAAGCATCAACAGTTCAAAATTGATAACCTATCAAAAGTTTGCTGATTTCTGTAGCACTCAATTTAAAGCTGAAATGAAGGCCACGCCCACTTTTTAAAGCCTCTGTATGTACACACACACGCAGGTGGTCAGTGCAGGACCTTCTTGTGCAGGGCGATGTAGTCCAGCCGGACTCCTCTCTCTCTGGTGAAGTAGTTGGTGCCGTTGGAGCAGTGCTCCAGTAAGGCCCAGCAGTACGGGGAGTGTGGGGGGTCATGGCAGGAATCCCCCGGACCACCGAACTTTAATAAAGGACTGACCGCACGCAGACCCTCAGAACATGCATCATAGTAGTTCAGAAAACCTGCAGGAGTGGACACAACACACAACCATTTATATCATCATTAATAAAATAGATACCCAGTGTGGATTCATTGAATGGCTGCTTATTAGTATAATCATGTGCTGTTATTTGAACTCATCCTCAGAAATGTATGAATTTATTACATTCAGTTTAATGCAAACATTTGAAAACCCATGTTTCCATATGTTAGCACATCCTCTACAGAGAACTACACACTTAAATATGACATTTTTTGTACATTTGTAGTGCACAATTTACATTTATTATAACATACTAGAAGAATAAAACATTAAATATAAAATGTACCATAACTTTAGCACAAGCCACATTTTATGTTATATTTAGTTTTCCCAATATGTCAAATTTACTTTTGCCCAAATTTTTGCACACAACTGTTTGTATCATTATGTCCTTAAAATAATGACATCATTTAAAATACAGCTGAATTTCTGTGATGTTCATACAGTGTTACCTTGGATTGTTATGGTGATGTTGTCAAAGTCGTGATTGTTCGGCTCATTCCACGTCTCAAAGTTCCACTGGGAGACGAAGCCAAGGCCGTATTTCTCTACACACACATACATATAGAGGTTTATACAGGACACAGCGTAAACCCGAGTCATCTACATTATTCAGAATCACCTACACAGTCTCAGAATCATCTATGCTGTCTCTGAATCATCTACAAGGTCTCAGAATCATCTACACAGTCTCAGAATCACCTACACAGTCTCAGAATCACCTATATCAACTCAGAATCATCTGCATTATCTCAGCATCATCTCAGAATCATCTACACAGTCGCAGAATCACCTACACAGTCTCAGAATTATCTACAGAGTCTCAGAATCATCTACACAGTCTCAGAATCATCTACATCAACTCAGAATCATCTACAGTCTCAGAATCACCTACACAGTCTCAGAATCATCTACAGTCTCAGAATCACCTACTTCATTTTAGAGTCATTGTCTCAGAATCATCTACAGTCTCAGAATCATCTACAGTCTCAGAATCATCTACAGTCTCAGAATCACCTACTTCATTTTAGAGTCATTGTCTCAGAATCATCTGCTTCATCTCAGAATCATCTACGCAGTCTCTGAATAATCTGCATCATCTGCATCCTTTCTGAATCATCTACATCATCTGAAAATCATCCAATCTCAGAATCAAAAACATTCTCAGAATCATCTGCGTCCTCTCAGAATCATTGTCTCAGACTCATCTCCATCATCTCAGAATCATCTACATCATCTCTGAGGTGAAGATCTCTCCGCGTTCCTCCTAAACTCACCTGTGTATCTGGTAGCGATGAGGTAAACCAGCCGTCTCCACTCCACCACCTGACCTTTATCCTCAAAGTCACTGAAGGTGTTCTGGACGCTGCCCATCAATTCAAAACCTGTAAAACAGTTAAACCATCTTTAAATTTTAAACCTCCATATTTTCTCACTATTAACTGTTTCCACAATAAGAGTCCTGCTCCGTGTATTTCCATCACAATTCAAAATTTTGCTCCTAACATACTTTACATAATACTGTTCTATTAGTGTTTTTCATTGAAGTATTTGTTTATTTATATGCATTTATTCACACTTAATATAAAATAACATTTATAAATATATTTATAATAAATTCCATTTTAAAAATCTATATTTATATCTGATATTATTATTTTATAATAACTTTATATGAATATATATGGTTATATATTTATATTATGTTATTATACATTATATATATATTTATATAAATAGTAGGATTTCAATAATAACATCAATTATACTAATTTTAATACTGGTGTTAGTGTAACTAATACTGGTAGGAATAAGTTTATTTCTATGGCATATTTATATACTTATGTACGCATTATTATGGTTATTATTAGCTGAGTCAGAGATTCCTCACCGGGCTTGAGTCCATTCTGGTAGAGAAGGTCAATCAGCTGGTCCAGGTAAGTGAAGTTATAGTGAAATTCTCCATTAACAATCCTGCAGTAACATCACACACAAAACAGGTGCTTATTAAACGTGACCCAATCAGCGTAGAACTGGTTTCAGTTAGTTTTTTTAAATCAGAACAACCAGAACAAAGCTGTTTATTTCAGGGTTCAAAGTACACAAATATACTTGTGCTCTCTGGTGTTTTACCGTGCTGATATGAGCTCCAGCATCCAGTGTATCCGCACCTGCTGCAGTCCAGAGTGAGGGGTGGAGCCGATCAGGGCCAGATTCAGCTGCTGGTCCTTACTGAGGTCATAGTGGGGCGAGTCTTCATGGGGCTGAGGGGGGCTACAGAAAAAAAACAACATATTATAGCTACCAATGTTATAAAAATAATATGCAAATATTACTACGACTAATATCCATTTAAACGTTAATCCTTTGTGGTTGCCATACGGCAACAATTACATTTTTTAATAATGATTTTGTTACTTTATTTTTTTTTATCACATTATAGCTACCAATATTATACAAATATGCAAATATGAACATTATTACTAACATCAATGTAAATGACAATCCTTTTTTTTACTTTTTTAAAAAATCACTTTATAGCTACCAATATTATAACAATAATATACAAATATTAACAATATCACTGACTAACATTGATGGAAATGTTAGTTGATCTAATCCTTTATGGTTGCCATATGGCAACAATTACTTTTTTATGTTTTAAAATGTAAAAGTCACTTTTTGGGAAACTAAAGGCTTTAAGTGTACTGCCATTGGACACAGTGGAGTCTACTAGTTTAACATCATTTTCACATGTTATTACTTTCACATTGCTGTCTGTATTCCTGTGTGTTGGTTTATCCTCACTGCATGATCTGCAGATTGTATATCGTCAATTTCTGTTGTCATATGGCAACAAAATGCAAAGTACCCCCTATATTTTCTCTTATACTTTAAAATACAGGGTGTCCCAAAGAAATTGACATCATTTCATAGTTTAATACCAGCCAGTTTTTTTCAGGTTGAAGAGTGAATGAAACAGGCATTTTGTGTGTTAGAAAATGCTCGAACACAGTCAAAAGAGTGTCCAGCGCGCATTTTCAAGAGAATTCAATAAAAATGCACCAACTGGAAAAGCAGATTTGGACGTGGCACAAAAAAGTCAAAGAGGAAGGCTGTCTGTGGGCAAAGGGATCTGGACGACCACCAGTATCGTAAGATATTACATTTGTGAAATCGGTTATATAAGCTACATCCCTCTGAATTTCTTGTTCGAATTTTGATAAATAAATCTTGTATTGATCAACATGAAGCCTATTTAATTTCGTTTGCCCAGGATATGTAGTTACTTAGATACCCACACCGCAAATGATGTCAGTTTTTCTGGGACACCCTGTATATATTTCTGTTCCTTGTCCTTTTATTTAGAAAAAGCATAACATTATGTGTGTGTGTGTGTGTGTGTATATAAAACCTGTGTGTGCGTGTGTGTGTATATATATAAAACCTGTGTGTGTGTGTGTGTGTATATATATATATATAAAACCTGTGTGTGTGTGTGTGTATATATATATATAACCTATGTGTGTGTGTGTGTGTATATATATAAAACCTGTGTGTGCGTGTGTGTGTGTGTGTATATATATAAAACCTGTGTGTGTGTGTGTGTGTATAAATATATATAACCTATGTGTGTGTGTGTGTGTATATATATAAAACCTGTGTGTGCGTGTGTGTGTGTGTGTGTATATATATAAAACCTGTGTGTGTGTGTGTGTGTATAAATATATATAACCTATGTGTGTGTGTGTGTGTATAAATATATATAACCTATGTGTGTGTGTGTGTATAAATATATATAACCTGTGTGTGTGTGTGTGTGTATAAATATATATAACCTATGTGTGTGTGTGTGTGTATAAATATATATAACCTATGTGTGTGTGTGTGTGTATAAATATATATAACCTATGTGTGTGTGTGTGTGTGTGTAATTAGTTTCTAACTCATGCATTAAAGGGTTTATCTACATTATCTAGTATAAAATGGGTCCAGACCAGAATCCAGTGCTCCTCCAGAAGTGGGTGAGGTTTCTGACTGGTTTATCCGCTCTAACTGAGACCTGCACTGAGGAGCCGCAGACTGAGCGCAGATTCACCACCATCAGGAGGGAAACGAGAGAGTTTAACTGGAAACACAGCATTTTAGACACATTTCTCCTCTTAAACCCCCAACAACCCTCCGTCCACAGAGCCGCTGCTTCCCTAAATCAGTATTTAATCATGTCTGCTCTGCTTTTATTCACTTTCTCCGAACTTCACTGCTGCCGTTCCGCTTCTCCTTTCAAAACAAACCGACGTCACTCGGTGAGAGTTTGTCAGCGGAGCAGCGCCGCCCGCTGTACGGAGGGGCGCAGCGCAGGCTGGCTGACTGAACGTGACTGTGGCTGAATCTCAAATGGAGCCCTACTCACTACCCAGTGCACTACATGGGTACATTAACCGCCTCCTGCGCTCAAATAGTGCTTAATATGTCTAACTAAGAGTCATTCGGGATTCAGTTACGGGTCCTACTGGACATATTGTGAACTGTTTGGGTGGAGAAACCAGAAATTTCATAAATAAATCACATAGTGCACTATACAGGAGGTAGGGAGCAATTCGAGACAAGACTTATTCAGGTCTAGTTCATTTTACTGCATAACCTGCTGATGACTTTCCTTCACTATTATCATATATACTACTATAGTATATAATACTTTATATTGTTTATGTAGCTTTTTTCGTACCTTTTGTTTTTATTTTTAATTTTTAGTCTTCTGTAGTTTCCTTGAAGTCTTAGGTGCATTTAAACATATATAATGTGGTTGTCAAATGAGCATTATTGTTATTATTATTACCATTATTATTATTATACTAAGAATTAGTGAGTTAGTGTACAGACTGCAGGTTTACAAATCATATAAAACATATGTTATAACTCACTTCTTTTAGCCCACAATGACAGTAATAACACTTTCAAATACTTTATATTCTTGAATAATTTTACAATATTTTGTAATACCAAGATTCAGCATTAGAATACAGGCCTGTAGCTCACAGCGTAACAATAAGCAAAGTCGCATAAGTCTCTGTTTAAAACAGTAAACAGTCTAGAAGAGTCTGCTAATGAAGATGTATTGCATGTATTTTGCCCTTTTTTCCCAAGCTTTCTGGCTGATGATGGAGGGAACAGTTACGGTTCTGTTTCTCGCTCTCTATATATGATAGGAGGAGTAAAGGCTGCAGGGGGGGCCCTGTAGTTCCCATATGTAGTGTAGGGATTAATGTAGGGGCTCATATAGGGGTTAAAATAAGGTTACTGGGCCTGTCCTTGTAGGAGGGTCATCGGCTGTAGGTCATACTGGGCCAGAGAAGTGTTCTGCAGCTGGGCAGACAGCTTTGGTGGAACACCCACTTGTCACCCTGAGCTGAGAGGGCCGCAGGTGTTTTTCTTTCTTCTGTAAAGTTTCCATTTGGAGCAGAGTTTTGTTTTGGAGAGAGGTTTTGTGCGACAGCAAGGATATATTTAACGTACATTGCATGTTAGCCATCTGCTTACATTAGCATGTTCATGGTACCATGATAGTCCTCTTATTTAACTGTAAACCTGCACTGTGTAAGTTTTGGGGATTTGGAGACCTCTCTGGTGGAAATGTGTAACTGCAGCAGCATGCGCTGAACATTCTGTGATGTGGGTTGTGCTTCGACCCCCTTCCCCAAGAAGATGAATCTGTCGAATGAAAGTGAATTCAAAGAGAACTCAGTCTAAACTTAGTGAAGGAGCGTCTTCTGAGGATGTGACTGAATTATCTACTACAGTCGTCACATCTTCATCAGTATGATGTTGATTTTGAGATCATTTGAAGCCGAAACATCAAGCCAGACCTTCTTTTAGAGTCTGTGTGTGACATTAACACGTAAAGACGTACGACATGGTGTGAAAAATCACCACCTCTGACTTTTAAATGTTTATTTCAGGCTTTACAGGGCGATTCAGCAGCTCACGCTCACCATATTTGAACCTGTTCATATTCACCTCACTCAGCAATGACTTTCAGTTTTAACATCATGATTCTTATGTAGTGCAGCTTCAAACGTTGATCAGTTTCGGTGTGATTGTACTAAACTGGTGTTTGTAACAGGGCTGAGCTCTGCAGAATGACCCGAGGAGTCACTCAGCTACTGTGTATTTCATATTGAGATCTGACGACAGCAGGGATTACGCCTTCATAAAATAAAGCAGGCTAAGTCTATTATCTGCGTAATGTGGGTCAGTGGGTGATTTTAGACCCTTTTATAGGTCAAAGGTCAGTGATGAGGACAGTGACGCTGCTTCTGGACCTCCTGTCTGTCAGCCTCTGCGCTCCTCTGAGTGTCCCACACCACAGCAATATCATCTACAAACATTAAAATGAAAAGAGTTGTGTTTGTGCTGTTTTAGACGGAGAAAGAGAGGAAAGCGAGGGATCTGAGTGCTGAGGTGGACAGTAGAGCACTTCATCTATTTTACTGCTATATAAATCACTTATGTTATACATGATATGCACATTATATTCTCAAATATATATAACTTTGGACAACTGTTGTCTCATATATGTTCAAAGTATACATAAATGTATATATATATTCAGAGTGGTTTGGTGTGAAACGCTCTGTTCTAGAGAAACTTATTGAGTCAGAGCTGCTCACAGTGGTGGTGATAGGAACCAGACATCCACCTCTAAAAGCTCCCTCACAGAAAGTTATTACATGAAATGGTTATGAATTCACTGCCTGATGACTGAGACACTGTTTTATGATAGTTTTGGGAAGATTTTGGCTTTAAAATCCATTCATGGTGGAGGGATACATAATATGCAGGGTGTTGTGAGACAAAATAGTCCCCAAAGAAAATTTATTTCAGATTCACCTCTATTTTCCATTATCACCATTCCATATAAACTCAGAAGACTTGTGTAGGTTCACTGGTGGTTCTGGATAGTAAATAAAATGTCTATATTTGTATTGTAGTCATGGCGACCCCTGGTTCCTATCACCACCACTGTAAAGACATCTGAACCATTTCACACCAAACCACTCTAAATCACTCTGTTCACATCTCCTTGAAGGTTAAGCTGTAAGTCATTTCTAGATCCTTACAGCTGCTGTAAGTGATACAAACACTGCTCTAATGGTTATGAATGCTCACGCAGACACAAATGTAAAGGATTTATGAGTGAGCTGTGTAGGTGGATGTTCATCAACTGTAGGTTTAAAATTTGAGCGTGAAGCTGAGCTGTGGTGTGTATTGTGGATTTTCTATATATTCCTGCTCCTGATCCACCGTACCACCTTGGGGGCTTTCCCAGACCCTACTTTGACCCTGTTTGTGGAGCTAAACTGCTGTAGGCTGAATGGTGGAGCTAAACTGCTGTAGACTGAATGGGTGGGGCTAAACTGCTGTAGGCTGAATTGGCACTTATATGTAAATCAGCTTATGGTTGTGACATCACCATTATGAATTAATAAATGTTTATAACATACCATCACACTGCTATTTACAAAATGGACATTTATTGTCCCTTTAAAAAAAAAATTCAATGTTTATGCTTTCTTGCTTTTTTGTAACAAACCACACGTCACTAAATTGGTTAATCAAATGTTTTTTTTTTTTAAATGGAACAAAAACAATACCGTTACAGAAGCCAGTAAATATACACCAAATGTTTAATTCCACATGTTAATAAATGTGTTTTAAAACAGTGAATAAATAAATTGTGGATTTGAACAAAGTTTATGTTCTGACTGGGTTTATTTAAAAGAAATGAACTGATTCAAAAGAAAAAAAAAAGACTTTCCTTAAAATACAACTCAAATAGCTTGGTTAATCACAACGTGCTTTACATGATTCTTTTCCACTGCCTGTACAATACACTTCACAATCCAACTGTTTTTCAAATAACTTAAATAACTCACTTTAAAAGTGCAAATTCATAATGCATACATGGCAAGCCCATGAGTAAGACAACAGTCAATAGAACAGTTCACATTTCTTTTTGTGCAATATTCACAAGAATGTTTTAGTGAGACAGGGTGAGAGACAGAGAGAGAATATGTGAGAGAGAGAGAAGAAATAAGGGCCAGAGTGAGGCAAGGAAGGAGGAAAGAGACAGAGAGAGGGAGAGAGAGAGATAGAGAGAGAGAGGGGGACACTATGATTTCTGTTCTGCTCCTGTGGCAGTTTGGGGGGTGCTCTCCGGCTTTGCAATCTGATAGGTGATTAGATATTCTGGATAAGCCTGAAAAACAAACACAAAAAAATCACTGCATAAATAAATGTCCCCTCTGACAAGACGCAGTACGCAAGTGTAAAAAAGACTCATTTTTCATTTAAAGGGTTTGTTCTGGGGCTTTCCTGTCTTGCTTTGGACAACACTTGGGACTAGCCTGTTTTGGCTTGGACTGCTTTGCCTTGGACTATTCTAGACTTGGGACTTGCCCATCTTACCTTGAGACATGCCTGTGTTCTCTTGGACTACACTTGCGATTTGCCTGTCTTGCCTTGGACTAGGCTTGGGATTTGCTTATCTTGCATTGGGACCTGCTTGCCTTGACTGGACTAGACTTGGGACTTTCCTGTCTTGCCTTGGACTATTCTTAGGACTAGACTTAGGGACATACCTGTCTTTGCCTTGGGACTAGACTTGGGACTTGCCCATCTTGACTTTGGGCTAGACTTGGGACTTGCCTGTCTTGTCTTGGACTAAGCTTGGGACTTGATTATCTTGCATTAGGACTTGCTTGTCTTGACTGGACTAGACTTGGGACTTTCTAGTCTTGCTTTGGACAAGACTTGGGACTAGCCTGTTTTTGCTTGGACAGCCTTGTCTTGGACTATTCTTGGGACTAGACTTGGGACTTGCCCATCTTACCTTGGGACTTGTCTGTCTTGTCTTGGACTAGACTTGGGACTTGCCCATCTTACCTTGGGACTTGCCTGTCTTGCTTTCGACTAGGCTTGGGACCTCCCTGTCTTGCCTTGGACTATTCTTGGGACTATTCTTGGGACTTGCCCATCTTACCTTGGGACTTGTCTGCCTTGTCTTGGATTAGACTTGGGACTTGCCCATCTTACCTTGGGACTTGCCTGTCTTGCTTTCGACTAGGCTTGGGACTTGCCTGTCTTGCCTTAGGCTAGGCTTGGGACTTGCCTGTCTTGCCTTAGGCTAGGCTTGGGACTTGCCTGTCTCGCATGTCTCGAGTGTCAGGACTTGAGACTTACTTGTTCTTTGAAACACAATGGCTTGTTTTCTTCTAGGCACACTTATTAATG